AATAAACTGTATTTGATGTTTCAGGAGGGTAGGGACAAGAGATTTCTTATGGAGAAACTTGTGCACAAGAGTACAAGAGATGAGGATACAGATGCTTATGATTTAGCATCAGAGAGCACCCAGCAAACTGGACTTCATCCAACAGCAAACAACTTCTTCTAGCTTTAATCTGGTGTCACTGACCAGTGTTGATAGTGCACCAGATTAACATTCTTCCTGTCACTAGCTTTAACCAAGATCTGTGATGAAGATACTGTTAGTCCCATCTAGACAGGAAAGTTGTATGTGACAAATTCACCGCTTTTGTATGTACGTACATCACTATGGAAGCATCTTCTCTGTGGTGAACTAATGTTTCTATACAGTCATTTAAAAAATAATTCAATTCTCTGAACAGTGGTGTGAAAGAAATTGTCACATAGAAATTGCTTATGTAAGTAGTGCTTTCGCTGTTTTGCTGCAATTTTAAATTATTTATTGTGATATTTTAGAAACGTTTTCCATTCGTTTTACACTTAATGCATGCATACATATTTTATACATTGGTTCCAGAAATTCTTCATTAGGCCATTTTGGAATGACAAGTACTACCTAAGTATTAGTAAGGCGGGTTACCAGTATTCAATAAAGCCATTTTTCCAGCATTACGTGCAATCAAACCAAATGCAACAACTTAATAGAGACCCAAGATAACCTTTACTTTGAAAACTAACTTCTTAATGCCTTCTTTGTCCTACTTGGATTTTGTACTGGAAATTTTAGTACCAGAAAATATCTGTCATGTCTGTCAAGGGTTTGTTTTGGTTAATTCCCCCACGCCCTTGAGAAATGCCTATTCAGGTATGGATATTTCCTGCGACCACACTTAGCTTTCCAGAAGTGTCTTATATTATTACAAAAGTTGTGCCTCGATTTATTCTTTCAAGAGGAAATGTGACCTTTGTACCAGTGCTGTAGTATACCCACATATTTCTCTGAGGTGGCTTTTCTAAAGAAGTATTTTTCTATACGGCATAAAATGTTAACTTTGTAACAATTTTGGTGGAATTATTTGATATTGTTTTAAATTATTTGTCTCTTGGGTGGTGCCAAGAAAAAATTTTAGTTTCAAATTTGTGTCACTGTATAGCTTTATATTGAATTATTTAAGTGCACCCACATTAATTATTTTACAATTGAGTGGCATAATGCAAAAATATATTGAGTATATATTTCAGCAAGACAAGGTGTTTGGTCACAAAAATTAATGAGGTATTACCATACATTTAGATAACAATCACAATTCACAAGCAGGCTATTTTTACAACAAGAAGGGCACTGATTAATCACTGAAAATTTGTGGGTGGTTATAATTTTCTATTGAAATCATTCCTCATCATTCTCCTCATTTTTTCACTTTACATTTGTAAATAATACTTACGTAATACTTAGTTTAGTTCTCTGGGTCGGGTTGTTCAAGGTTAGGTTAAGATAACCCAGGATTAGTGCAAAATTTGAATTCAGACATGATACTTAGCTTAAAAAGCAAATGCAGGTAGTTCTTTGTGTCTACAACGTGATGAATGGTTGCTCTAAAAATAGAAGAAAACATTATCCAAGAAAATGCATTTGAACAACAGAAAAAGAAATCCAGATTAAGATTTAACTCTGGGTTAGCCCTTGTCAGCCTTCAAACAACTGGGCCCTGATGTAATATAGGCATACTTTGTGATGTTGCATACACACAAAGAATGCTATCACAATTATTTTACTTGCGTGGGATGTAACTAACCTAGTAAATAGCTACCTCAAAGTCCAAATTAACATTTACTTTCACTTGATATTTACAATCCTTTAAGTTTTCATTTCTTCTCTGAAGTTCAAAGTTAAGATTTTATTGGCCATCCAGGAAGCTAAATTCTTTGTATAAACCTGTCATGTCCAGGGCTCAAACTGATGACCAGTCTTCATGTTTTCACTTGTTAGGCTAGTATGTTCGAGTTCTTTTCATTGTGAGCCCTGATGTCATACTAAAATATGCAAATTCCCTGTTTTTGTGCAATAGTAACAGTATTCTGTGTTTTCACTCACGTGGCCAGCATCTATGCAAATTTATTGGAACAAAAGAAATCGTTTACATAAGAAAAGAGTTCAACTCCCACAGGACTGGTTTGGGACACAAACATGTCTGCTGTTTCATTGTTTCGGGACACAAGTATGGCCGCCATGACGTCATGTGAAAACACGCAATTATTATTTGAGATCATGGGATACCAGTTTAATGTATATTACGATGTCAGTGGTTTTGAGTGCTGGCACTTAAATAACCTGCAAGAAGTTATTTATTAATCAGCTGCAATTAGTAGCTCATTAAAATAATAATTATAGTAAATTATATCCTTTTGAGCTACAATATTTTTTGATTTACATTATTAAAAGCTTCTTGCCATATTTTATCTCTGTGGCCTGTTGTATTATTATTAATTGTGGGCTTGAAATTGTGGCTTAAAGCAAAGTGAATATGTGATTTGATCAATGTGATAAGGCCCCTAGTAACAGTGCAAACACACAAAACAAAACAAAACAAGAAAAACTCTGAAATTACCACAAATCCTCTTTAGGTTTCCTGGGGGCTTATTAATTAATTTACCTAAGATGATGGTCTTAGTTCTGTCTAAGGACTAGATCGCTTAGGCCTAATTCAGGCGCCAAACTTTTCATGAGCCAAACCTACTTGAATTAAGTACATGTCTGAAACGTTTGGCATCTGAATCAATTAGGAACACCAATTACAATTTGGAACGGCACAGCTGTTCTTCTCACCTAGCCCAGCTGGGAATTTAGACTGTGGAATGACTCTCAAACAGCTTTCATTCAGACACCAACTTTTTCATGTGATATATCAAACATGAGATGCAGTGTTTCATCACCAGATGAAACACCGAGAAAAGAGTTGAAAATACGACGCGCAGCGGAGTATTTTTGACGATCGAACTTCGAGGAGTTTCATCTGGTGATGAAACACTGTGTCGAAAACAAAATCATTTTTGAAGGAGAAATTAAGGATGCAAAAATGAGCAGTTTTTCATCTGATATCTAAACACTCATTAAACATTAATTTCCTTTGGATTTTTCTTTTTGAATTATTAATGAGTTTGAGAAGTGCCTATGAAACTTAATGCATAATTTATAATAATATATTTCGCTAGCAGTTTGTGACCAAAATGAGCATTTTTTTCCTTTTGAAGTTAGTTCAAGTGGAATTTAAAGATGAGAATCTGAATCAATCGAGCTGGTCTAAATAACTTGGGTCGGCCTTAATACAAATTATGTTCAGGTCACAAAAAGTTCCGCATCTGAACCAGGCCTTAGTGGAAAAGATCAAGTGAGTTAAAAAAAAAAAAACCAAACTTCCAGATTAAGTGTTCACTGGTGAGATACAAATTATGCGAAGAAACTGTTTTCAAAACCCTGCCATTATCACACCGATATTACATTTGCAACACTGAACAAAGCAAGTTTATGGGTCAAGCTTTATTCATGGATTCAAAACTTAAGAAAGAAGTCCACAAGGAGCTCTGCAGTCCATCACACAGACAGGATTTAAACAACATTGATCTTTATGTAAACCAGCCAAGAAAAATAATCAGTCCTTTTCAGACTTTTTCTCTTGGAGATGATGGTGGTCAAGATGGTGTCCACAGTTCCTAATTAGATTGCTTGTATTTTCTAAAGCAAAATACAACTTGATTGTCCAAAGTTCACCTAGTAAACGTCATAATGCTTTCTTAGACGGATCTACAAGATCAACAAGAAAGAAGATTAGTAGTAATTGATACACGCATTGTGGAAATGACTGTTTGAACTGTGACTACATGTACTAACTGCAAATCTGTAATCTGGAGATTTTCCCTTCTGTGCCATGCACACTTATCCCCTGTCCACCAACCCACCCCATCTACTTACCTACACAATATTGTGCCCCGGGGTGGGGGGGGGAGGGTATTCCCTTATAAGGGCTTAATGGGGACGTGCAGCCAGCCAGGGTATGTTTTTTGGGATTTTTGTCTTAAACAGGGTATTGAATTTATCATTTTTTGTCTTAATCAGGGTATCAATTTGTCAATTTTTATCTCAAACAGGATATCTTTTCTTGGACGATAAACAGCAAAATTTTTACAAGCTCTAATGTTAATTACTATTGACTTCCGTTGACTTAAAACAGGGTATCAAAAATCGGAATTCTGTCTTAAACAGGGTAGGAAAATCAGCGATATTTGTCTTAAACAGGGTCAGGGTATGAGGGGCCGCGCCCCACCTCCCCACCCAGGGAAATTAAAAAGCTTCCCCTACGTATTCTGAAGGTTTTGAATTATCAAGATACTGCAAATGATTATGTATATCAATATACCAAACAGATGCCTAGAATTGGGAATTTCAGGCAAAGCAAAATCATTCATATGGACTCTTCCTCTCTTGCATTGTTTTCTAGTCAGGCCTTATTAGTGGTTAATTCCGACAAGTGACATGGCCTTGGAACAATGACATAAAATCAATGAAACTGGGACAAACAAAATAATATTAAAATAGGGGCATCACCATAACTTCTCCTTTGAAATTCAGTTTTGGGACATACCCCTCCCCCACCTCCACCCCTTAGAGGCATCTTTGCTAGTCTCTCTACATTTCTTTAATAAAGGTTGCGCTGACTCGATTAGGCAGGTGTGAGGAATTGATAAGTGCATGTGAGTTGGCATAAGATCAAAGTTTCTGGTCTAAAGGAGTGAGGCTCACGCCTAACCTGAAGCGTGAGAGTTAGCAGGCACACAAAGAACGTGACCTCAATCACAATCGTAACGCAATATAGTGTGTCCGGTAGGGAGAGGGTTGTATTAAACGTCCCTGTAGGACCCCTCTGATAAGAAATAATACTTGTTCTTTGGGAAACTAAAGCGCCGGATAATCTAACCTGCGATCAGGCGTTTTTTTTACACATTTAAGCTTACAATAAAGATGCAATTTTTAAGCTTACTTACTGTTTCCTTGCGGTAGCAATTCCAATAATCCTCCTGCTCTTTTCTGCATATAGGGTACCAGCTTCGCTGAAAGCATTTTTGAAGCGCTGCGTTCTGTTCTGTACAAGCCTCTAGAGCCCTAGAATTTCAAAAATCAAAATTGTATTGAAATTTATCTTAGCAACAATTTTTATAAACACCATCTCGACATTTTCTCAGTGAAAAATCCTGTCAGCTTGCAAATAAACATACTCAGGAAGTTGAATAATTGTTTTAAGTATTGCAATGGCTTACAATGCTTTAATGTAATATCTAACCAACTCCTTTTCATCCTGTGGCTCCTTATTAGGGCCCAGCGTCTTTCCAAGCTTCTCCATCATTTCGTCCATTTTGAATCCGCCATGTATTTGACACGTAAGCCTAACCCTTCCCCACAGAGTGTGTCTTGCTAGGGTAGTGTTAGTTCATGTTCCTTCAAAATGGCGGCTGACAGTGCTAACCTGTCACACAATCTTACTTTATGTTGAATTTACATGTATTATGTTTCTCTGCCTGTTGTTACGAAGATGTCCAAACCTAATGTGAGTGAAGGGTTTCGTCAGAAGGTGAAGCAGTTTTTTGGCGCGAAGAAAGGCCATGTTATTACCAGCAGTGTATACGAAGGTCCCAAACCAGATGAATTTTTCTTTCATCAAGAATTGCTTCAGGTAGATTAATATCTTAACTTCAGAGTTGGGAAATATTTCGTCTTCATCAGCCATTATAGTTATTACAGCTGATGGTTGAATCTTGCATCGGGAATGGAATTTTATGTCGATGTCAATCAATGATAATTATTATTGAAGGAAAATTAATGAAAGTAATGATTTGGTTGTCAATCAATTTAGCCGAGAATGGCCAATTATAGATAGTTGATTCACTCAAACTGCCAATAGTATAGAAATCCATCACTGAATAGATAATTTGCTGTAAATGGAACTGTAAAAGAAATAGACCTTCTTAATAAGAAAGAAGGATGTTGTTGTATCGATCATTTGAAAAATCCAACTAGTGGTCTATTATCAATGCTGCATTCTGATTGGTTGAGCTGAATCGCGTTTTGCTGGCTAAAGTTGTTTTGTCTCTATATTTTTGACCAACTAGTTGGATTTTACTAAAACAGTTATTCCTCTTACCCTCATGGCCTAGCCCATTTGGGCTAGAGGAATAATAATTGTTAAATATGTTGATCGAGCGTCGGTTGAGTATTGGTTGTATATCAGTGGAGTGTCGTTGGAGTATTGGTTGAGTACTGACTGACGTATCGATCGATCATCAGTCAACTGTCGGTCAACATTAATTGCACTAGTATCGGTAGTGTGTCGGCAATTTAGTATCAGGATGTGTTGGTGGTGTATTGGCCGAGGGTGATGAGTGTTGAGACAGACCTTGTATCTTGATTAAATTATGTGGTGCAAAATATCAATTACAGTTTTGTGAGGTCAAATTCAACCAAAATGGACAAGGCAACCAATTTGTTCCCCCTACATGTTTTGCCCACAACTGGATGTCATACTCTTTATTGAGAAAATTTCTCTTCCGTTCCTAACAAAACCAATAATGTTTGGATCAATAAATTTAGGTTTCTGAGGAACTGCCCACCTACCCCTCCCCTAAACTAACATTTTGCCCTAAGTGAGAATTTATGTTAGCTTAGGGGAGGGGTAGGTGGGCAGTCTCCCAGAAACCCAAATTGATCGTAATGCTGAAAAGTTTAGCGTCTTAACTGAGGTCTGAGGTATTGACTGAGTGTTGGTGAATTGGTGATCCATAACCGGAGTACTGACAGACCAGTGACCGACTATCGACCAGTGAATTATAGGGGCCAACTATCGGCTACATTTCCAATTTGACGGTCACTTGGCTGATATATAAACTGATACTCGACTGAAGCTCGACCAACACTCACTCGACACTTGCCCGACACTTGACCAAGACTCGAACAAGGCTCAGCGAATATATCAACTGATATGTTGACTGATATGCCGACTGATATGTCTGTCAACAGCCCCTATAAGACACAAGATCCAGTTGCTTTGGGCATTGGGCTTTGCACACTTGGAAGCTATTGTTTGGTAGTCACTCAAGAAAGTGAGTTCCATATGCCCAAATGCCCAATTACCAATGATCAATTATGAAAGCAATCTTTCTTGAATTAGGTATATACAGTTGTATGTCTATACTAGTGGTATGCCAGTCATCGATCACAATCGATCATTGGTTGTAAATGTTAAAGCGATGCAAAAATCAATTGTTATGGAACATTTTTCATCCTGACCACTATTATTTTCCTTTATTTCCTACCATAGGAAATTAGTAAGGAAAACCCCCTGTCAAACAGGGTCAAAGTTTTAAAAGACCTTTGTGACTTTTTGGTCAGTCGGCGAGTGGAAAATGTGAGTAGTCTTAAGTTATAAATGGCAAAACTAGAAATATGTGTATCACAAAACCTCACGTTCAGGTCTTTCCTGGAGCATGCTGATTGTACATTATTGTTACCCTGGAGATAGCAATACATGTATGTGGTTAGTATAAAATCATCTGCCTGAGCTTGAGCCTTTTTCAGTTAGTTTTAAGGAGCCACGGTCTTTATTTTGTAATTTTTGTTATCTGCATGTTATTTTTGGGGTAGTCTGTAGAGGGGGCCCATGCCATAAGGTAGTTGCTATAAACCCTGGTCCCTAGTGTGTCCATGGAGCAGGGGTAAGCGTTTTTAGGTCATCAACAAAGTAGTTCTAAAAAGATTAGAAACTGCATTTGACTGATAATATGTTAATAATTATTAATAGTGCCACAAATAGAAGGCAGAAGCATTTTACAGACCTCACAATAGCTGTTTGGTGATAAATTTAGGGTTAGGAAATTTAATGAATCAAGTTCCTCGTCAGTTTGCCTTGTATAGTGACCCTAAATGGAACTTGATTCACTCTGTTTCCTAACCCTAACAATCACCAAAGTTTAGAGTCATTTGTTCTCTAGTCTGTGGCAACTTGCAGACTGCAAAATACCCCTGCCATAAAAAGTACTGTAGAATCCTGATACAGAGAAGTGCCAAGGGACTGGGAGAATCATTTGTACATGGTTATTACAGTGGAACCTCGATATAATGAACCTCGATATAACAAAGTCCTCGGTATAACGAACAATTTTCTTTACTCCAGTAATAGTAAAATATATGAAAAAGAACCTTAATATAACGAAACCTCGGTATAGCAAGCAAATTTTGCCAGTCCCTTGGCCCTTCATATCATTAGATTGGGGTTCCACTGTACCTGTATTTTGGTCCTTCTCTACAGAGAATATCTTTTGTTAGGGTTTATTATACTAGCATGGTAGCCACAGGGCAAAAAATAGTCAAGGGAAATTAAATTTCCTCAAGGTCAGGGAAAAGTCATTGAATTTCACTTGGAGTCAGGGAAAATTTAAGTCTTTGAAAGAAGTCAGAGAAAAGTGAAATTTTAATGTACATTTGTACAATTTTACAGACATGAATTACTGTGTTGTATTGGTAGAATGTTGTTTATGAAATTGAACAATAAGCTGATGTTGGTTTTCCAAAAAAAAATCAATCCTGTTTGCCCATTAAATTAAGGAACTATCAATTCATGTACACTGTGTGTGACTTGCTGAAAGCATAAATAAATGGGTGGGGGGATGGCCATGAGTGGAGCATTGAGTCTATTTATCACTGGGAACAATTTGTGAAATCGTAATTTCAGTTGGTCAGGGAAATTTTACATTTGTCAGGAAAAAGTCAGGAAAACGTCATGGAATTTCAGAATCCTCTGGCTGTGGCAACCGTGACTAGGGTTTTTGCTGGTATATACCATACTTTAATCTCTCAAGAGGGTGTGTTTTAGTAATCACACCACAGGTAGGTAGCCTGACAGCATATGTATTCCAATGAAAATGTTGTGCTTAAAGCGAGCCACTGGTTTAGAAGTTTTAAGGGGATCTCAATTGACAAGAAAATTTCCTTGAGAAAGGTGACTGTGTGACTGTATGACTACGGAGTTCAAGCTAATTGACATAGCTTCTGGTTATCTGGTAAATTGTACTTCCTGAAGTGCCATTTCTAAAGAGAGATAGGTCTTCCTAAAAGAGATGAAATGGTGTATGCATCCATGCCTGACAGGATTTTATTGAGAGACTCTTGTGATGTTTGAATGTGAAAGTTGCTGTAACATTACGTCATGTGCTTGTCATCATAATTGAATCTGGGAGTTATGTTTGTTTTTGGAGGCTATATATTGAGGCGGATATGTTCTTGTCTTCATCCACAGCATGCCATTGAAGCAGCCTGGGCTGCAGTTGAGGATCTGCTTAATCCAAACAGCCCAGTGGAAGCACGTCATGTTACGTTTCATTTTCTAACTGTTATGGTGTCTGGACAGGTCAGTCACTTGCTGTAATTTTTTGTTAAATTGTCTTTTGAAAAAGTGATAGCTACACCTGTTAAACCACTAATAATTCATTTTCTTTGCAGATCGACAGACTTGGCATTTTAAGGTGTCATTTCTTCTCTGTTGTTGCTAATCACAAGATTCCAGAAGATATTTCACCGAGGTAAGTACCAAACTGGTCATGCAAACATTGTGTTTTACCAGAATATATCCACACTCCCCACAGAGTATTTTTTAAATTAACTCCCTGTCCTTCTAGAAATTCCAGTTTAGTTCAATGACCATACTTTGTGCAAACTATTTGGCTCTTAATACCTAACCCCGAATCCTAGAATTTTCCAGTGACCCTTCATGGGGTTGATATGGATATCTGAAAACACACTTTATGTAGAAGGATCAGTAAAATCTCTGATCCTGCTGGTTCAAACACATTTGTTACACCTCCCAATTCAGCACATTTTCTGATTATTTAAAGTGAACTGATTAACTTGCCATGCGGAACAAAACTTACATGTATTATGCAGTGACAGGTCATGTATCTTGCCCGCATGTCATCCCAGCAAACAATGTTATTACTAATTTTTTTGTGGTGAGGGCAAAAAAACTAAATTTATAATTTTTTGTTAGTTTCCCCTCACCTTGTCCTTCAATGTTCATTGAGTGCCTAATGGAAATAAAATGTACTGTTTCCTTTTGGGACAGATATCCTTAAAATGAATTGTCCTTTTATTAATGGCTCCTTCATCCAAGAAATAATAATAACTTCGGCATCATTTTTTAAATACAATCTCTGCCCTTTTTAATTGCCCTTTTCCTTCGAATTTTCTCCAAATAATGTGTAATGTCAAGATTTTAACGGACATCACAAGTAGAAAAATTTGAGAAGCTGATTATGGAGATGTCATGTACTGATGATTTTGATTTAATTAACTGATCTTCAGACTGGAGATGTTAAAGGCTCTGAGTGATAATGGAAAAGACATCTCATATTTTGAAGAGCTGACAGGTAAGAAAAAATTTAACTTGACTAGTCTAATTCAATTGTTTCCTCTTTATAATTTTACCTTATCTGGCATTGTGTATAAAATTAATGCAGGTTAATTGTTGTATAATAACATCACTACAGGCCCTTTTCTGTTGTCGTGGATGCCAGATGTCATGCAGGAAGGAAGGCGAGTATTAAATATTTCAAGATTTTTCATCCCCACCCCTCTCCTAGATGTTTGTTTGACCTGTCACACAATGACACAATCTACCCAACAATCTTGATGAGGCAGACAAAATGTATTTTTAGGAAGCTTTCCCTCCTCCTGTGGTTGAGCCTGAATACAGTGCTGTCAACTCTCGCGGATAATCCGGAAAACCCCAGATTTTGAACCGTATCTCCCGGTCTCTAGATTAGAGTCTGAAATCTCCCGAATAATCACCAAAGTTTGCCATTTCTTGTAGACACAACTCTCTGACAATGAAATTTTAAATATTTTGCATTGTTTGAGCTATATTTTATCTGGAACTTTTCCTTATAAACTCCAGTATGCCATTGAAATATAAGAAATAACTTGATTGGTGGCAAGTAAACCAATCAGGTCAAATGTTACAATTCCAACTATATCTTTTTCGCGCATTTTTGGAGAAATGACGTCATGGGCTGTGCATTTTGACGTCATCTACCATTTCTCAATATTTGAAGACTTAAGGGGTTGACAGCCCTGTGAATGTGTGTTAACATGTATCTTATTTTAAACCCTTAAAACTCTAGCATCAAAATTCAGATTTACGTTGTGCCTATAAGTTTTTTATATAAGAAGTCGAAGAATTTGTTAAAGAATCAAATAGATTGATCAGGTCCTAGCTAGATTCTTGTCACAATGAATTTTGTAAAGCATTAATATTACAAGGAGAAATTTGATGCTGATCAATCTTAGGCTTAAAGAATTTTAATATTACTTTGTTTCCCTTGCAGAATGGATGTCTTTATGCCTCTTGTGATCAACGTTATCCATTATAACTCAAGTTTTCTTGATGAAGATATCATATCAGGCATCGTAAGGTAAGCGAACAATCAACAATGAGTATCAAGTTTTTACTTGAAAAGTATGAATGGCCTTTGCTGTATTCCTTATCTAACTACGAAAGTAGTCTCGGCCAAAGGATCGCGTGCCAATTTAAAGTAGATAAAACTTAATTAAGGCAGGGTGTTAAGGGGGATACCTACATGAATTATCTCTCTTTCCTAAAAAAAATAATTCTGCCTTTTTTTCTTTTTCCAGAGAAACCTGTCGTTTATCTAGAACAACTAAGGATGAAGACGATGTTGAGGTATTTACGTTTAGGTCCAGTTTTGCATTTTATAATTACACAACGTAACTAGGGCTCATATCTTTTTTTTCAAAAGCCTCTTGAAAGGCTTACATAAAGAGGTGGTCATGATGAGGGAAAGAAGTTTGTGCCGAAAAATCAGCTGACCTTGTACTGTAATTGCAGGGTAGAAATTAAGGGAGACTTGTTTTAGCAATTATTTTAGTATTACGGCGTGAACTGGACTGAAATTGTGAGAACAAAATCTCTCTGACATCCCAACTTCAAACACAGCATCAAGAAAATTTGAATATAGAAAATTAAGTAGCACAATGCCCGTTAGATTTTTTATAACATCAGCAACACAGAGAACAACCTTAAGTTTTGAAGTTGCAAAACTTACCGTAAATTAAAATGCTAGGACCCAGGATTGCAAATTTGGAATACTTTGAGCACTCTCTGATTTCTCTGCAACGTGAGAACAGAGGCTAACATTGAAATAGAAAGGTTAAGGGTTTACTGTTTCTTTTCTTTATTTTCCAGCTATGCTTGTGCCTCTTGGATGCCGTGGTTCGTTACAGCTGTCTCCCATCTAATGCCTTATTTGAGTTCATTGCTACTGCTTGCCGAGCTGTGAACATTCAAAGATTTTGCCCGCACAGTTGGAAGGTATTAAGATCCTCGATACACATGTATTGCTGATTCAATATACGGAACAATGCAACTATTTGCCTGAGTTTCCACCAAACAATAGCTTCCCAATGCCCAAGGCAACCTTTATCGAATCAGCTTTATACAGAGAATATTTAGAGTGGTTTTCGTTTGAGTGTCGTAAAACCAAAACCAAAGTAATTACTCTGACCAATCACATAGGACACAGACAATACATTGAACCAATCAAAACTCGCAGTAATTACATGCGGCTGACGCAAAGCGCGGGAAAATGCATGCGAGCGCGTCACAATTGGCTTTGGTTTTACTTCTGATTGGATGAAAAGGTGGCGCGAATCTTTTAAGCCAATCGCATCGTGTAGAAAGTGCAAAACCAATTACTTTTCGACACTCAAATGAAAACCGCTCTATACGAAGTACATTCAGTTGTACTTATGGAACCCCGCGGCATAAACACCCTGCTTTTAACCCTTTAAGTCCCAATATCCACATATAAATTCTCCATACTGATCTTCATACATTTTCTTAAAGAATTAGTTGAGAGAGTTTGTTAACAGATCAAAGCATTTTCTCTTTTGTGATCATTTTATTAACTCTCATAACCATTTATGTCTGACGAAAATAACTGCGGTCGGACCCCATGTCCGGATAAAGCAACGAAAAATACGACGAGATTGAAAACGTCACTATTAAAAATAAGGAATTTTCGTCTTTTCAAACTTTATAGCGTCTATTTGGACCAGCCCAATTTGTCAAATGTAGGCAATTTTTCGTGGGATTGAATTCTTAAGGACCTAATCCAGGTTCAATAAGAGAGAAGAAAATTCGTCGTCGTATGTTCACGTCCTCGCTTTAGGAAGTTTCACGTCGTCTTTATGCAGCCGTCAAAGAAATATACTAAAAAGCGTGGTGCATGAGAAGATATGTTCACGGTTTTGGTCATAAAACCAATTGTATTTTGTCAGTGTCGTTGTTGTTGACGTTAAGCTCTTTAATACCAAAGACTATCATTTGCAGCCTCCAGTAATCAGTTTGCCTGCGAATCTCTCACTGTAACTAATTTTCGGTTAACAGGCCTAATGTAACCAATCGTGTGTCCAAGACAGGATTTGTTTCATATTGCCCAATCTCAGGGCCATTTACAAGAGGAAAAATTGCTTGTCTTATGAAAGACGTGTATTATTTTCCCCGCATTGATGGCCCTATTATTGTTCTTGCTTATTAGATAATGCGCAACTTGCTTGGAACTCATCTTGGGCACGGTGGAGTCTATACAATGTGCAATCTTTTAGAAGACAGGTATGGCCCCTGTAGTATCAACTGCAACATTCTGTTCATTCATTGCAAATCATACATTCACGTTATACCCCTCTCTCCCAGCAACGGCTACTTACTCCCTCCCGCAAGGTGACCTTTGCAGAGGGATTCGACTGTACATCCAATGCCGAATTTATGCTATTGATGGAAACAAGTTATGGACTAGCGCTCAAAACACGTAAACAGAACTACAGAAACAGTCGGTCATCGGAAAATGCCCGAATAAAATTGGTCAATATTTGACGAAGTCGTAACTGAGGTCGGAAATGAAGTCTGGGCAAAATTAGTGCTAAAGCACTTCCACTTTGCAGCTAAATAAAACGATCTACAGTTTCTTTGGTTTATTTTTGCAGTAATAACAGTTCCGATGTGATGCTGTTGCGGGGCTCCGTGTTCTTCATTGGAATGTGCTTATGGGGCTCACAGCGTGTACCTAGCCTAAAGTACTCTAATTCAACTGTTCTGCCTTCAATGTTACTAGTGAGTATTTTTCAGTTTGTTGCAATAGTCAGGAGCAACGCAAAGCTTAAAAGTGTTTTTAAGAATTCTAAGAACGGAAATTAATTTTTCACTCAGTTAAGCGTGTGCTTAAAACTATAGTACGTTTTTGGGTATATCTCGAGACTTTTGAATAAAAAAAAGTTGTAGACCAAGGCACGAACCGAAGAAAGATTGCCAGCTAGAAACCCAATCTCTTATCCTGTCATCTCGCAAAGAATACTACTTTCTGTACGAAGATGGAAAAGTGTTACTGTGTAGGGATCTGTTATGTGATGTCATAGTTTACAGATCGATCTCGCGACTTGCATTTCAAGCTCCGCAGTTTTTCCAAGTACGGTATTTGGTCCTTGGTCCGGGTGTCAGTAAAACGTGGGGTCGGGGCCGGGGTCGGGGTCGGGGTCGGGGTCGGGGTCGGGGTCGTGGTCTATCTTTTTTTTAAAAGAATGCTGTTTTAGGGTTAGGGGTTATGTTAGGGTTAGGGTTAGGTTAGGGTTATTTCTGGTTAGGGTAAGGGTTAGTATCAACAGCAACCCTGACCCTAAAACAGCATTCTTTTAAAAAAAAAAGATAGACCCCGACCCCAGCCCCGACCCCGCGTTTTACTGACACCCTGATATTTAAATTATATTGAAATTCCTGAAACAACATTGAGTTAGCCGAATCGGTCTATTGAGTTCATCTTCTACCTCTGAGCACTGCAAGACCAATTCAAAACGAAGGAAGAAGTGGCCTTTAACTACATTACGTGGTTGTCCGATTTTGTTTGATCACTCGTATGATTACAGACCGAATTAGACTCCACTCAGTCCTACATGTATTACTATTATTAATACGAAAAAAAGGAAACATAACGGGAATAAGTACTGAAACACTCATTATAAAGAAAGAGTGTAATGAATGCGATAACGATTTTTTTTGGTTTTATTTCACATTCCCAGGCTCTTTCTTGTCATCATAATTTAGTAGCATTAGAAGTAGCGCTGTCTGTTCAAAGGCTGGTGAAGAAATATGGTCACGATCTTCATGTCGTGGCGTGGGATGCAGTACTGGACATTACTGAGGCTCTTCAACGACAGATCGAGGTACTGAATTAAGTAATCAAATTTGAGGCTATCGCAGCGAGGATGATTATGATGTCGGAGCTGTAAGCTTCTAACAGCAAGCTCTGTTGTATACCCCGTAAAGTGCTAAAACCATACGATAACGTTGTCTCACGTGTATTGGCAACTTAGTTGAGAATAAAAAAAAAATGGTAAAGCTATCGAGCTCAAAAATCATTGCATTTACAGCAGACAGCAGCGCACATAGGGCTCCAAAAAGCGATATACGATTTACGCAGAGAGCTCAAAGAAGCTGATTCTTAAGGTTACCTTTGATTTTCAACATCATTGACCTTGTGGAAATGGAGAACCGTCTGCGATGGTAGAAATTTCTAAACTTGTCTTTCAGTTGTTCGCACAGTCAATACACTTCAAGACCCGGTACTCCGCCTGAGGCTTTTAGTGTAAACTCGTATTACTTGCTTTCAATCTTAGTTTGTTCATGAACTGGAGCTGCGCTTTTAAAATTGCCTTTAATAGTTCTTTACAACCTCTACCCGCCATGTTTTTGACAGGGTTATTTCTCTTTTCATAACAGCAACATAGCCCGGGTGATACCGCTTTGATCGAGAATTTTCACAGTCTGCTGACCAGCATAGAAGAACTTTACGAGACAGAAAAGTTTAATGGACCAGAAGAGAGATTTTTTAACATAGTAGAGAAGGTTTCAAGCAACCGACCGGTTAGTAAAACAGCTTTAGTTGTTGTTATTTCTACTAAATTTCTACAAAGGGAAAGAAGGAGTAAGGATTACCACGATCGGTTAGTGCGCATGCGCGGCCGGCGTTCTCTGCGGGAAGTTCCGAGTTCAATTCCCAGGTGTATCGACTTCTTTGCTTTCCCTGCAGAGCTCCGTACTAGTGGAGAGAGAGAGGTCGGCCTCAGGATTATCAGTTTAAGTAATTTTATGAGTTGCGACGTAAAAATTGGATCTTTTTAGTTTCCCTATAAGACGGGGTGACCTTTGGAACCACACTGTGTGTCTGTCTTAGAGAGAGTCATCTAAAAGAAGAAAAAAAGGAAGAGTCCAACTCTGAGTTTCCGTTTTAGTGAGGTGTCCGTCTTATAGAGGCGTCCGTTAAGAAAGAGTTGAAGTATTTTTCTCAGACTGAAAAAAGGTAGTCAGTGTTTTTTCAAATCAATTTAAAATGCATCCTGTTTTTGAGAATCGTAAGCATGCTTTTATTGATTTGCAGGAGCGATCTCTTCATATCCTTGTGTCCTTCAGAGCTCAGGCAGTGCACCCTGCCCAAGTAGGGTGGCTAACAAACCTTCACAGCCTAATGGAAAAGTATTTCAGGTACATGACGACGTTATACGATATAAGACGTTGTAGGAAAAACGTTATAAGGGACTTTAAGATCCGACGAGGGGACCGCAACGAGATCGTCAAAAAAAAAAAATAAAATAAAATAAATAAATAAATAGGTTTTTAATAGGCAAAACCTAAATTTTGCACGTTCATTACAAGTTTTGTACATTTATTTGCAACTTGGGGAGCAAGGGTGGCGCAGTGGTGAGAGCACTCGCCTCCCACCAATGTGGCCCGGGTTCAAATCCCGGCGTCGACGCCATAATTATGTGGGTTGAGTTTATTGCTGGTTCTCTCCCTTGCTCCGAGAGGTTTTTCTCTGGATACTCCGGTTTTCCCCTCTCCTCAAAAACCAACATTTCCAAATTCCAATTCGACCAGGAATCAGGTAGACGAAGAACCACTATGTGGATGTGCTACCTGTAAATGGTTATTCATTTATTCATTTATTCATTATTCATTTGCCGTTTTCATTGCACGACTACGACGTGAAATAGACCTCTTTAGCCTTTTCCCAATAGAGGTCCCAGAGGAACTTGACCCTTTGTCTTTTCAGAAATTATTCGTAGATATGCACGTGAAGAAGACGAAATTTGAAAGAAACAGTTCTCTAGAGTGTTATCACATGACCTGTCTTGGGAAAACAAACATACAAGCTAAAGAAGTCTATTGCCAAATTTTAAGTGTTATGGAAAACGTAAACAAGCGACGACGAAATTATACTTCTCTTTCTGGGACATCGTTCCTGGGAATTCAGCTCAAGGAGCGATTAAGACTGAAAGAACTCAAATTCACTTTCGCTGCTATCTCGTCCTTGGATCTTAAATTCCGACCTTATTGTTTCCTTGATCTTTTTCAGATATGAAATCCGTACTAGTATAAGAGAGAAGGTTCTTTCTGTGTTGTCTTCCCTGTTAGCATCATACGGCCATTGGTATGAGGTAAGTGGAACTAATCAGCTTACATAGTAGGGGAGTTTGTGGTTAACGACTGCCTAAGTTGTTGTATTCACACTCCACGTCGGAGTTTGTTTATTTCAAACTTTTGTTTCGATAACAGAGAATAAAAATAACGTTAGTGCACCACGTACAAATTAGGAAACCTTGTGAATTTCAATCCAATTTTTTGCACAGAAACAGGTTATACTACTCAGGGCAGAAAAAATTTGAATTCCAGCTTACCCTTAGGATAAGCGGCACTCAAATTTTGCTTGTCCAGGGCCCTTGCGTCCTTTCCAAGTTTATGATTTATTTAGAAGACGCCCTGCCTGGGGCTTTGTCCATCGCTGGAATAAGCATGCATGGAAAGTTACTTGGAAATTTGCTTTTCTCGGATAACCTGCGACACAGACGAACCTAAACCTCTGGTTAAATCCGTCTGCGAGTCAGTGACAAAGTCCTTGTTCTGGGGCCACCACCTTCGTACCAGAATTTGAGTAGGCGCCATGATTAGTCCGTTAAAAAAGGCCGTTATCAATTTTCCAATCAGATTGAAGGGAAATTCGAAACGCACCTCCAGTAATTCGTTGAGCTAGGTGGCTGAGGGATCAAACAAGGATCTCGGCGCTGTTTCCCAGACGTTACTGGCCAGGGTAAGATTACGTCTCTGAGGCAAGCTATGACTCGGACGACCGGATGGGACGTTTCTCGAGTCTTGCTACCACCAGGTCAAAAATTATACAAATGAACAAAACAAAAACACGAGTTGGAATCTGAACTGATAACAGAAGGATAATGTGGAATTTTTTTTAACAGGAAGAGCTTCTAGAGTCAGCGGTGTTGCCATATCTGAGTCACATATCCGAGGACCAAGATGTCACAGTGCGTGACGCTGCAGTACAGATACTTATTGATTTGTGTCTGATGTGTGACTCGCAGAAGTGTCAAGATTTCCTCGACATTATTGAGAAGGTATGTTTCTTCAATTCCTATTCCTGGTGTATTGTGTTTTCAGCTGAGTTCATAAGATGAGTTTGCAACCTTAAGAGAGATTCAAAACCTAACGCTTCGATCGCTTTCGCAGCGTGAATCCAATTTCGTGCTACCGCGAAATTCAATTTGGTACCTTTTGTCGGAGCGAATTCAACTCCATAGCATCGAAAGCTCGGCGTTGGGAAAATCATTAAATATCGCAAATCTGATAAAAGCCAAACTAAAAATGTCGTTGGCAATCGAATATATCTTTTAAAGGTTATTATCTTTTTTATGTTACTTTTTTACTTTTTCTGACTGACAAGTTGCAAACAGGTTTGAGTTATAGTCATTTCGCTTACGCTTGGTCCCCGTTAGTAACCACGACGGCAACGGCAAGGAGAACTTCAGAAAAGCAATGGGTTTAATGAGCAAACAACTCTGCACGTGCATCACATTGTTTGGTACATTTCTTTCCCTTCCCTTCACGAAGGCTTTGCTCATGCCAAGTTCTTGTGACGACGTCAACACACGGCGACGAGTCTTTCTTTCTCTTTGTGAATTTTTTTCGGTCCTTCAGAATTCAATTCTAGAAAAAAAATTGCCTTAGATTGACAAGTTGATCGGATTGGAATAATCGCGAATTGTCTTTAAAATTTACCTTTCGCTCCGGTTGCCGTCTTTGTTGCTGAAGGTCTTTATTGATTATAGCAGATTCAGATTTCATTCATATTTTTTATGTGTTGCCCACTATTGAAAAACATAATTACAGTCTGACCATAAAAATTTGCAATACATTACAAGAACAAAGTATATAAATGATTCCTGTAGCAGGACCAGTATTCTGAGTCTAAATATGACCAAGAAATGAAGGTACTGCCCATTGGCCAGAATATAGTGGTCCTGTCTCTAGAAGTGTCCCCAGTTAGTATCATCACTTACGTAATGGTAATAATAACAACCAAATTAGCCTGTTCCAAGCGTTCAGATAGTGGAGAGCGGTGCGAAGTAAAGAAAGTGATGAAAAGTAGAGGGGACTCTACTTCCTCTACTACCTCCCTCGCTTTTATTTTTTCGCGCTCCTTTTTTATTTCGCACCGCTTCCCACTATTTGAAAACCTGGAACAGGCTACAACCAAATGCGCTGTTCTTCCTTTTTTTCCCAGGTTATCAGTAGACACGTGGAGCTTCAAGGCAAGAGCTATCCACTTGAACAACAGCAACAGGTGATAGCTATAATACTATGTTCGAATAGCACTATTTTTGAAAACGCAGGAAAATGTGAACAAGTTTTAAGGATCCAGTACGTCTCTATAACGTTCAGCTCGTTGTGCTGGTCAGCTAAATGAATTTATTTTTGGTACCCACGAAGGTCTCTTATTCAGCATCAGTGATCCTCGTATATACAAAAGAGATTATTGTCTTTCTTTTAAGTGCTTTGTTGGGCTCATACTCGGTGTAGAAACCTGTGAAACTCACGATTGACGTAAAACAATTAATACAAAGAAGCTCCTGAGAAGTCAACACGATAGATTCAAGGAAAATAACAGCTAGAAAAAGCTTCACAGGTTTTTACCCCGATGATGACCCCTTTTGTTGTTCTTCCATCTATAGTTGGTGCAAGAAGAAAAAGAACTAAAGGACATCAAAACAGCAGTCAGCGGATTGGTTGAAGTTTTTAAGGTAAGGAGACTGACCGGGTCATGTTTGTGTTAGACTGTTCACAGTCCCCCATTTTTCGTAAGATCGTCAGAATCGAGCTCTTACCGGTATGGACGGCCATCTTGGTTTCATATGTACCCAGGGGGCGGGCGTCGGGGTGTTAAGTAGTTTTGACACTCATCCAAGATGGCTGCCCGTAACGCAAGGCACTCGATCTCGACGATCTTACGGAAAAGTAGAGGACTGTAAAGAGACTATGTTTGTGTTACCAAAAAGTGGTTTTATATTGAGCATCGTAAACCCAAAACCAAACCAAAGAAATAACTATGACCCATTACAATTACTTGTGCAAGTTAGCAGTTTTGGAAAAGTTATTTTCCTGCCAGTGCTAGGCATCAAAATCCCCCCTCACCCCTTTCTGGAATGAACGTCGTAACCGACCAAAAATTTTACCCTGCAGTGACTGGTTAGTCACTTAAAAACAGCATAGCAACTTTTGACTATGGGTGTGAAAATATAGGCTAAGAATGCTGTGTGCAATCTAGTGTCGACACACATTTACTTTTGCGTTAGTTCTTTTGCAACTTCTCAAGCAGAACCAAGTTATTTACTTTGCGACGCGCGTTCCCCGCGCTAATAGGCCAGTTTCGAATTACCAAAACTCGCAGTTTGGCTTCGAGGCTGAGGGAAATAAAACTAAAGAAATGAATCATTTATCACTGAATTTCAGTGCGTTTTTATTTCTTTTTTACCCCTCAGCCTCCGTGCTAAGAATGAATCTTAATAATTTGAAACTGGTCTACTGGGGTACCCTCAAGATTAAGTTTAGATTGATTTGTGCGATTGTCTGAGTGTAGGATTCTCAATAGTTAGGTGTTCAAAGCGAAAGCAAGGCTCTTAAGGCAGAGCTTTAATGTTTGTTACGAGGCTTAACCCACTGGGATATGCATCAGTATGGACTTAGCCTGTGCACAGACGCTGTTTTATGTTTCTTTTCGTTCTTTTCGAAAATGTCGGCGAGTGCGCGAAGCGCGAGAAAGAAAAATAATGAAAGTCTTTTTTCTTCTTTCCCCACCCCTATCCTTTTATGCTGGCGGTCAATAAATTCCCCGCGGTTTTTATTTTTATCACGCGCGCTCGACAGACGTTGAAGAGAAAATAGAGGGTCTGTGAACAGGCTATGGACTCACTAGGGCCATTTATGCGAGGAGGAGGTGCCTTAAAAAGACGCTTGTCTTGTCTTAAGTAATAAGCGAACTTCTCGCATATATAGCACAAAAGATGTCTTCGCGGCTTAAATGAGACGCAACTTAGCTAAAATGTCTTTTTAATTAAATTTGAATTGTTCGTTTTATCGACAGCACAAGTTGTACCGTTTGCCTCACGGCCACGCTGTTCGTACATTTGAACTGTTGGTGTCACACATGAAAGCACATTATTACCATGGATATAGCACTGACATCGCCAGCGTTATAAGAAACTTGGTATGCTTAACTTTTTTCTAGCATGGAAGAAAATACCGTAAATGGAAAAGTAAATAAGTAACTAAGTTAATGAATAAATCGTCACATACGAAGCAGTTTGAATGTAATACTTTACCTCCAGGACTCGATTTGTGGTTAACTATATTGAGCGTAAAAGAAAGTGAATAAAAGTTCGTCCGGGTGATCGTAGTCCTGAATAGGACTGTTGTTGGCAGGGACAGACGTTTCGACAACCTGCGCGGTCGTCATCTTCGGGAACCAAATGAGTTTTGTTTCGTCATTTGATGGTATAAAACTCCGATTATCGACGTAACCAGTCAAATATGTCGTGATATTATTGCTCGTCTATCATTTTTAAATGGCTCAAAAGCCATGCTAATATCGGATGTGGAGACTCTAAATATGGGCGGTGTGTTTCGAACCGTTTTTGACATTGTAATATCGATCGTCTTGTGAGTAAAATTGTCATTTTTTTTGGGTAACCAATGTTCTCAGTTTTGCTGAAAACGTCAAAAAGCTAAAGAAAAAATAATAACTAAATAAATTGATAAAATCTATAAGGCGGACAAAGGACTAACGAACTACGAGTAGTGCTTCTCTTTTATTTTATCTGTTTTTTATTTGACGAATAATTGATCCTGGTTATGGCTATGACAACTTTAAATGGATTGCGGCATTCTCCACTCCAGAACGCAATGCAGTGTTTTAATGCTTGATCCCCAAAAATGTTATTGTAACTGAGAAAATTTAGGACATGGTGTTATAAATAAAGTGCATGTCATGCAGCTATTTTTTCGCTTCACTCTTATCAAGTATCAAAATGAACGTGTCAAAACTATACAGACTGAAAAATGGGTAAAACTGTGTGAAATAAATCACCTTATGACATTATAACTGCAAGCTTCTTACAAGTATACCTTATTTTCAGGCGTTTGAGTGTTTTCTTAGTTTGCGATGTGATTCCAGTTTACGACTTGGTTTATGTGATAGCAAAGCAGAGGGAGGCGGTGGAAAGTTCAGTCCTTACTTTACTTGTATGCACAGGTAACCTTCCACGTTTAATTTTAAAACGTTGCCTACTCCATTTTTAAAAAGCCATGTACTTTTAAATGTGGTGACGTAACCTTTTCTTTTTTTTTTCTTTAAGTGATGCTGATACAAAGGCATTGTCACATCTTGCGCTGATAAATTATTCAGAAGTCTTTGAAGTGATATTGAATTGTCTGCAATATGTAAGTTATACACAACATTTTGTTCACTTTTTCTCTAGTTTAACTTAAGCATCCCTGATAAAAGAAACCTAACGTCAACCGAAGGAAGACCAGAAGGGAACTGTTTGTTAATGTTCTGTTTACACTAAATGCACCTTAAGGCCAATTCCACAGATTATTTTAGCGAGAGTGTTTTGGCGCCGTTTTTAGTTGTGTGTTAAAAGTAGACCAGACGGAGTAACAACAAGAGCCAGAATGTAATTCGGAAAGAAAATTAGTTTGAACCACGCAGTTTTCGCAGGAAATTAAGCCTTCATGTTGTAGAAATTTATAATTATTTTTTATATTTTCAATAGCATTACATCTTATTTTCTCATTTAAGAAAAAAAAAAACAAACAAATCCCCTTTTGCGTTTCAATAACAGTCGGGAATGCAAATGTTTGATTCTTTGTTTTGTTTTTTAGGAGTGGGATTGGACAGTAATAGAATATGTTTTAACCGCGCTACCCGAGGTCTTACAAAATAAGAACCTGATACTATCAGCCAATCCTGCATTGAACACGATGACGTCAGTACTCTGTCACATGGTAAGGCCCCACATTTCGCGCCTTTACTCCATCTTAGACCCGGTTCAGACGCCTTACTTCACATGAGCCGAATCGAATTCAGTGAATTAAGTTCATGGAAGTACGATGTCTGAGTGTATTCAAAACGGGAATCAAATTCGAATTTGGATTGGTTCAGCCGCTCTTCACACCTGACGTAGCCGGGGATCACATCGGCTGTGGACCGTCGTAGATCAAGAAAGAATGAGATTCAGATGCGGAACTTCTCTTCGCCCCTTTTAGCCCTTTTCATGATCGCTTAGGCATCCTATTGCCTGCTTTTGTTAGATCACAATTTGTTTTTGCTGTGCAGGTGTCAGAGCCTTCTTGTATAATTGACCTTCGTCGGGTTCCTCATGGTGTTGGCAGAGCGGGATTGCAGTCTCTTATATTTCCAGTGAGTATCAGTTGATTTTTGGTGCTCGTAGTTACCCATCCTCAGCACCTGACAGGTTTTCCCTCAGTTTTACCGAAGGTCTTGGTCTTGAGACCATTCATTGCGTCTTGATACCAAGCTACTTCCAATGCATATTTTGCAGGTTTTAACAGTTCTGGCTACATATCATTCCAGTCTTGATAGAGGGCGACAGGTGAGTTTAGCATTTTTAGGTGAAATCCGTCCAAATCCTAAGACTTTGTTACTTCCTGAGGCTTTCGTACGTTTCTTGGGCATAATGAAAAGATAATGTACTGGTTTTCCATACCTTCAGTATGTTTTTATTCTTGCCTAGTGCAGTTAAACCTTCATGTGCGACCACATCTTGAGATACCATCCATCCTAAAAAAACAGAACAACCTCCCGAAAGCGAACGCCCAAAATGCCAGAATTTGATGAGCATGATGTTTTACAACTGTTCAGTTCTTTGATTGGAAAACTGAATTTGGTATTTTAGATAGGTAGTCTCATATGACAGGTGGTCGCAAGTGCAGGTACGAAGGAACCAACAGAAGTTTCCAGTCATAGCACTATAATGGTCGCTAACTGAATGCTCCAGTGTTTATGAGATAGTAGTAAACTTTGTTTCAAAGGAAACTGTGAAAGGTTTGGACTAAGGAGTCATTTCATAAGTAAAGGACTACGTTAAGTAAAGGAGTACAGTCAGGATTCCTCTTACCCGGATGACCATGCTCCACCTACTTTGTTTCTAATGTTCTTCCTCTATGGTGCATATGTGCCATAGGAAAAGAACTCAAGGAATGACTGGACATGGTTTTTCTTTTTGGTCAAAAGAGGTTTACTTATGGACCAGTTTCAGTCTACTGATCTTGTTTGCATATGCTTGTCCTAGTTTGAGCTGGTCAGGACATTGGAGTTGGGTTTAGTGACAAAGTGCGCCGTGTTGTGTGTCTCGTCTCTGACATTGTGCACTATGGAAATGCAGGCAGTCATGAAAAGGTTGGTACATTCTGTTTTAACCTCCATTACATTATTGTCTGACGTCTGAACTATTCCTTTGGCATACGTGCAAGGCTTTAGTATATTTTTATCAGACCGTAATGTCGGCCTATTATTACACGGTACTGCCTGTTTGTTACTGTTATGTTTGATTTACGTTCGAAGTGATTTTCCTTCCTATTTCTAAGTGTAACCGGCTTTGCTTGCCACGCTTCGTCCCACGGGATTCGTCGAAAACTTTGAGGGCCAAACTGTTTTGTCCCGCTGGAGTGAAACTCTCAGTGATCCGCTTTGTGTAAAGTGTTTTTTTTATATATCCTTTAATTTTCCGTTTTCCAGCCTTCTTCCAGCGCTACTTGTCCGCTTGACCCAGATCTCTGCAACCGTTTCCATGGCAGCACCTATGCTGGAGTTCCTCTCAGGTCTGCACTGAAAGTTGTTGACATTTTACGGATTTATTCAAATTTTAAATCCTTCTATTTCTTCTGTCATAACTGGGGACGTACTTTTTTAAAACAGGTCTCGTTCATTTACCTCATTTGTACGCCAGTTTCCAGGACAGCCAATATAAAAGCGTCTTTGCTATTTGTTTGCCATACACAGATCCATTCAGGTAAGTCTGTTGTTGGCGATTTTCTAATCAGGGTTTCTACGTTCAGGAAAAAAAAAATCAGTGAAAAACAAATTTTTTAAGTCAGTGAAAAGTCAAGGAATTATTTTTTTATTGCCCACAAAAACCCGTGAAAAGTGGTTGAAAATGAAGGGAGGAATACTCATTTTATGGCCATATGAAAAAAAAGCTGAAGCAAACGTAAACTCGAATTCGTTTTTGTTAATTGACACCTAATGCAAGGTCCGTGGAAATTTGTAGAGGTCAGTAAAAAGTAAGGGAAAATTCATAGGATTTGTTTTTGCTTCTGATTAGTGGCAACCCTATTGAGTAGTCTATAGAGTTTGTACGATTCTAGTTACCTGCATTGTCCACAAACGTTACGTTGTTGCGCGTTTGTGTCTCACACAGGTACTCTCAGTACACTGTGACACTTGCTTATCACGTGATTGCCGCGTGGTTTGTCCGGTCACGTGTAGCTTATCGCAAAGCATTTGTTGGATTTGTGAGCAAGGTAAGAGAGTGTCTATTTCTCAATACTCTCCTCTATGTTCTATGATTATAAATGTACCATACATACTGCTACGTCAACCAGCTACCAATTCCAGTCCAACCTGGAACAAAAAATGAGTCGACAGAAGTTCCATCCCTTCCGGAGCTCTTTATCTCTAGATTTTATTTCTTTGCTCAAAGCTCTGTGTTGTAAGTATTGCTCTATATTCTTCCTTTCATGGGTGTTCACGAGTAGAACTGTATTTTTCCAAAAAACTATAAACAACGGTAGGCTAAAACAAATTAACAAATCCAAAAACTACTACTATCAACCCAAAATTTATCCTTTTTCTGTCCTTACGCTACGTTGGTACGTTCTACAACTTAATTATTATCTGACACGAATTGTATATTAAACAAGACTATTTATGGTAATTTCCTGGCATGCAGTCTCTTAGGGCACGAAATAACGCTAGATCATTAATCCTTTTGTCCAATGGGATTACTTAATTATTTCATCCACTCTATGGTAGGGTCTTAAATCAAGTGCTATAATCCCGGAGCGTTATGACGCAAGACCCGACAGCCCCGCTTTAGCGGCTTCCAGGGCCCAAATGGGCAGCGTGAGTAATCAGCCCTCGCCCCAGATCACTCATCGGTCAGTTTCGCCCGTGACCCATAAAGAGACTGAAGCGGCGTGTGAATTGCATTCCGAGATGAGTGAAGTGTGTATGGATATGATGGCTAGGTACACATTTGCTTCTTGTATGTCACAACCCACCAGGTAAACAGTCTTGTAAAGTGGTTGTTCGATATTCATAACCAGTAAAACCTGTTTTTTATCACCGTGGTTTTATATGCGCGCCGTTATTGGCTTACTAGGAGATCCAACAAGCAAATATTTCAACGAAGTTGCCAGGCTTAGAAGTAAAAATACCCACCTTTAGTCATAGATTTTGACAACAAATGCATGTCGTCATAGATGTGTGCGTTACATTTGTGTAGCAGCGGGTCGATGCATTTGCTAATAAATTGTCGTCACTGGCATCAAAGTGTTTTAACATTGTACCCTCATTACTGTTACGATCATAAATATAAGTGTATTTACGACGTAAAAAGTACAGTTACTGAAAATTTGTGTTCATCTCTGTTATAATTATTTTTTTACAGAACATTGACAGTTAGCCTGTAAAATATTTTGTTATTTTTCCCTGACCAAACTATTCCAGTGCTGATCGAAGGAATGCAAAATCTTAATGGAATTATTATTCGTGTTCAGGACTAAAGCCGTAGAATATATGTTGGCCAGCGGTCACTCCCGCACTTGGATGATTGGCAACACGATTGTAACTATAACAACGTCCGGTACATACATCAGTTTGGATGGAGTGTGTGATAGCTGCTTAGCACTGAGGCAAAGAACAGCTAACCTTGGTCACGGTGAGAAAGTTAAAGTCGATAAAGGTCTTAAACAGCGAAAAAAGGCACCCGTTGGCTCGAAAGAAGAATCTCCTCCTCAGGCCATGATCGACCACATTCACGGCGCTGGTCCCGGTCCCGGTACTCAGGCCCCTTCTGGTGCTCAAATGAGCGCTGAAGGTTCAAGCTTGGAAAAAACGGCTCTTCACAAGGTGCACTCTGTTGATACTGCAAAGTTGATGTCTGAAGCTCATGGCAGCGTTGTTTCTGAGCGGAGATTTAGCGAACCTCTCGTTCCTGTTAACCCCCAGAACTGTCAGTGTGTCTGCCAAGGATGGGCAGAGATATTTATCCGGCGACCCAGCGGCAACATTTCTTGGATCATGCGCATTCAGAATAGGGAATCATCAATGCATTTGGATAGCGACATTACCACAGCTGTGGTGGATGATCCCCAGATTGGTGAATGTAAGTTGACTTTTTATTGCTGGTTAAAGGGGAGTTTGTATTATTAGTTAACGCAGCGAACCAGAAATAAATGGATATCTTTTAGATACATTATTTGCACTAAAGTGCAATTTGAAATTTTTGGTTTTCTCTAAATGTTAAACCATGGGGTACTAGAAATTGCACAGCCCACGTTTGCCTCTTACGCACTTCCCTACTGCTCTTACCAGACACCTAAATCTTAAGCCAGCCAGAAAAAGAAAAACACACCGTAACCGTATCACAGGAGAAAAGGAGCTTTAGCGACGACGATGGCGACGGCAACGAGAACGTCTAAGAAAGCAATAGGTTCAATATGTAAAACAGCAACTCTGCACGTGCAGCACACTTTTTGTACATTTCTCTGCCGTCACTTCACAACTACAACTGCAAATTCCATCACGAGACGTTTTATGGAGAACGTAAATACACCTCGACGAATTTTTCTTTCTCCTTGTTAACTTGGGTTTGGTCCCCACGAATTCATTTACAGGGAAATTAAACTACATTTGACTTTTTTAAGTGAGGTGAAATAATCGCTGCGTGCAAAACTGGACGTATCCCAATAATCGCGGAAAATTAAAAAAACAACGCTGTGGCCGTGGCTGTGGCTGTTGCTTAACCTTTTTAATGTTTACTTTGCGGGCAGTGTTTTGGCCAGCATATTTTGGTTGGCATCCTCAAGTGGCCCTGGAGACGAAGGTAAAAAAGATGAAGTGTCTTCTCCAACCGCTTGGCGTTCATAGGACACCCTGACGGCCCATGAAACCATTTAACCTAATTGCCCCTCCCCTCTGTCCCCTGCTCAGTGCCCGCCAGGATTATTGGTGCTACTGTCATACGTTTACCCACGTTGTTGGGACCAAAGAAACCGAATAATTCTTAACTGTTTTTTCTTTCCTTTCCCTTAGTTTTATCTCCACCTAGCGACAAGCTTGAAGAGATCCTGAGCACAAGCACAGAAAGTGGATCCGTTATTGTTGACGTTATCCGGCAAACCAAGCCACCAGAGGGGAAGGGTGGGGTCGTCGACGCAGGTTGGTTTGTTTTAATATCAAATGGTAGTGAAGTCCAGTTAAACACTTGAAGTATGAATCGCAAACATTTGAAAGAGCCCCTGTACACTATAAGGCTATATTGACACTATACCATGTAGCTTTTGCACTGGCACGAAAACCATACCGGATAGGGGTTCTGTTCACACATAAGGACGGTTGTGGCGGTGCGATTTCTGTTACGGGGCGAAGCTGCGCCGTGCTGATCTCTAAAATGGAGAGTCACCTTTTCTTTGCTAATTTATTCTTTACCTATTCAATTAGCGCAATCTTAGGCCATGGTGTATTCATTGCAAAAAGGGTGAAATGTTCCAAACAGATTGAAACAAGAACTTGTATTCATCAATTGACGTAAACGGAGGTGACAGCAAACCCGCTGCAAATGAATAAGAGCGACGTAAGGCAATTTTAATTTAGTCCAAGTGTTTTAAAAGCCAAATAATGTTCTCTCTCTTTGGTTGCCGCCCCAATTAGCCCTGGAAAACTCACCTTCTGCCTGGCAGCAAGACAGCGCTGAGGGATACAAAAATCTGGAGCCACCTCACCTTGACTCAGTGTCAATGTACACACCTACTGGAAGCACAGATTCACCGCCAAGTACACCTGCGGATTCCATGGAATCAGAGTCATTTGAGGCAAGAGGCAGGCTTCTTAGCAGAAGCCCAAGGAAGAAGCCGAGTTTTTTTACAGTGAGTTTGAAATGTTTCAAGCTGCAATTTCATTAGCGCACTAGGAATGTCTTTTGTTTGGGTCAAGCGAAAGAAACCGGCTTCTTATGATCTGTGTAATTAAACTTTATACAGTCGAACCCTGCTTTACGGGGACTTCGGCTTAGTACTGTCACCTCGTTAACTTAAGGTGGCTCGACGGGGTTTTTGTACTGCCTGACTACTTGCTTGTTCCTTGTAAGCATTTTGTATTGTCCAGATTTTCATACCATCGTGAATTACAAGCCACCAAGCTTGAAACTTGCCGCGCTTCAGTAACCACCGAACACTCTCAGAATATGGTAATAAGGCGCTTTGCTTTGTGCAGTTACTGAAAGTAGCAAAACAAGAGATCAAATAAACCGACTTGGCTGCAATACCGAAGCTTGAAAGCTAGAACATTTACCGTTCTAATGCAGTGAGGAAACATTTGTGAGCATTTTGCTGAATCGTTGTTATTAAAGGCTGATTTAAGTGTGAAAAAACAAAACAAAAACAAAAACAAAAAACAATACAATACAAAAAAACAAAACAAAACAAAACAGAAAAAGACCCGCTATATTCGAAAGTGCACTCGAAGAAATCATCGAAACTTGGCCAAAGTGCTACCCATAATGTACATTATCCATAGTTTAAACCGATTGTTCTAAAGAATTCGTTTCTTTTGGTAAATACCAAATAACAAACGTTTGCTATGGCAACGTTGCGTTGGTAGGGACGCTCCGATCTTCAAAAACCTAACTGAATATCAAACTTTAACGTATTGCTAGTTTGCTTGTAACATTGATATTGCGAGAAAATCATGTCCAAGTGTATTACTCTGTTAAATGACGACCAATTTTCCTTGTGTTGAATTCGTAAGGATTCTATCCAAGTTCACGAAGGGGGAAAGAAGAATCTGTCGTTAAGTGTTCATGTCCTCCATAAAACTTCGCGTTAGGAAGTTCTACGTCACACTCCTAAAGTGCTCGTCAAGAAATGTGCCAAAAAAGTGTGATGCACAATTATTGCACGTGCAATACAATAATTTGGATCGAAACCCACCAACTATGAGCGAGGTTTGTGATACACCAATCACCAACAACCACGGTGGTGCAAATAGTACGACTCAGTAAATCGACACTATCTCCTGATGAAGACCTGCAGTGTGCTGTCGAAACGTCGCGATCAATATCAAAGTGACAATCGTTAGACAAACGATAAAAACTAAACCCTTTATACACATTATCCACCATGATTAATATCTTTCATGACACCTTTTTTGTTGTTGTTGACCTTCTTTTTTTTGTTGTTGTTGTTGTTGACCTTCTTGGTGTTATCGTGTTCGTGGTTTTAACCAAAGTTATACTTTCAAAAACTGACTCCTTTGTATGATAGCTACTACAGTTACTTCTTTGCCTTTTCTTCTTAACTACGACTCTGAGGTTTAAGATCACTTTGTTGATGAAATATCAGATGTTTTGTTGGGTACTAAAGAATTTTTTTTTTATTTCCTTAATGAGTTGCTATTAGTTTCTGAAGGTGATGTAACATGTCTTGTATTTTACTGTAGATGAGAGAGTCAGAGTCCTCAGACATACTAGAAAGCCCAGAAACTACCTCCATGCAAGGTATGATAACTCAAAATCATCAAGTTGATGTTAACCAGGCAACATGGGCAAAGCTGTTACCAAGTAGCAGTGTGCGTTTGAGACTGGTTTTCAATCGAGATTTCTCCGTGTTGCTGCACCATGGGATTAACTGAAAACATCTGCTCAAAGAGGCTGGGTTAGCACCTTGTTACCTAACAAACCTTCACAGAATTCTACGGAAATGTAATATAACTGCAACATACTTTAGAGGAACACTTGAGAAATGCAAAAAAAAAAAAAACATAAAAGAACGCTGGTGGGTGAAATTGAAGAATATTAAACCGGATGTCCATTAACGTAAAATTAAAAAACAACGACCTGCTTTTTCAAGTTTGTCATAGTTTGTATGAAAATATGACTTATGATGCATATTATATATACAATGCGGCGTTGAAGTTGTCAGCGAAAAGCTTTTCGTCTAACAATTCGTACTTTAAACCTGCCAGTTAATGAAAATAGGCAAAATTATTGAAAGTATCGTCCGTCATCTAGCTTAGTAACTAGCCCCTTTTAGAATTGTTAGCAAAGGATTTAAGGGAGACGTGCCATTCCCTTGAACCTAAATCCAACTTCTAGCATGTGTTTTCTTTACCATCGCACTTTAAAAGTTGCCAAAGTCAAAATTGAACAGAAATTCAAAATATCATTTTCATGGGAAAGTATTGCCAGTGAGGTTTTATTTGAATGGTCCATAGGATTTTGTCCACAGACTCAAAAGTTAGAGCCGCCTTACAAGAGACCATCCCTCACTTTAGGATTAAAAGGGCCAAGCACACGTACATGTCTATTTGTTGCAGCAACTTCTCATGACTGATGTCGATGTTGAATATACATAAAATTATCTGCAATTGGTATAGGATTTAATGGAGCCGAAACCAATTGTGGAATTGTAGAATTGCACGCATTTTAGGCATCCTCCTGATGAACAGTTGTGACACGTAGATGTATCTTTTTTAGCAACTTCTATAATTTGCAGTCTGTCCACTATGAATACATTATAACTGTATGTTGAATAAATGGTAAAGATTATATGTTAATGAGTCCATCAAAATGGTTTTGTAATCGTGTTAGGATTTCCAGATATCCCGCAGGATCAGACCAGGAAAGAAATGACCTTTGAAAAGGTAAGAATAATAGTTGATAGTGTGATGTTCCGGTTCGGCTCTGCTTAATTTCTATTCTTTTCACTGGACGGGTAGAATTGAGTCTTCAAGTTCACCCCTTCGAATTCCTCTCAGTGCAAATCGATTTTAGTTCTTGGCGCTAATTGAATTCTTTGTTCTTCGGCTAAGTTGCTTCATGGTGGGTGGAACTTTAGTTTTTCAATATTTTCAAAGAGACGGAATTGTCTGCCCCAAACGCTGTTTTTGTTGTTGTTGGCCGTAACAGAGTACGGCGTAGGCAAAGCTTCTTAACTCCTTCTTTGGCCCCTCCTGCTGCCCCTGCATTATATTCCGCAAAGCCTTCCCTCTCCTCTTTTTTCCCTTCTAAATCTTTATAATTATTTTTCTCTTCTCTACATATGTATTTGTATTCAACTTGTTTAGTGATATTTTGTGTGAGTGAAATAGAAATTGAACTGAATTGAGACAATTCTTTTTGGTCCAATCACGGTTATCTATTGTTCGTAAGATTAACATAGCTTCACCAAGTAATTTAACTCAAATTTCCTTTAGGTCCTTGTTGCCTCCTTCTTTGCGTATTTCACTGATAACTTATTACTTTGCTGGTTTTTATTTTAGCCGCAACTTGGAGTCTCTCCCGCTGAGCACTTCCCAGTTTCCTCTCTGCCAGAATACAGCCAGTGGCAACTGAAGAAAGCAGAGACCAAATATCTGTCATCATCTGAGATGTACCGGGTAAGACTGGGCAGTAGGGAGGCAGTATGTGCTACGAGATCGTTTAGATCTGTTTTCTGTGACTTTTGTGACACCAATAATAAAGAATCATAGGATTGCTCATCCCCTCCCTCCAGAAGTAGCAGAGCTGACGTGCTGTACACAGGTGTTTTCCCTCTTATTAATTTCTTTTTCGCTGCGATGAATCAGCACGGTGGCCGGGGATGAAACTGGACTGCGTCCTAATCGACGTTAAGCCCACAATACCCACTGAAGTCCCGAGAGCCTTGGCCACACCACCTGGATCTTCGGTTTGTTGGAGAGGAGCAATGGAGGGGTGCGCGAGAGAACGGGGAAACCGCGAGGAAAACCGGGCGTAAACCTTTCTGGCGACTTTGTTGCTCATGTAGTGCTTTTTATTTTAAGTTCGAAAAGAGATAGTTCGGTGAAGGTACTGGTCTGTGGGTTTCTCCTCTTTATCCCAGTTCACTAGAATGTTGAGCCATCTGTGGATACTCTGGCAAAGGCAGCACCTTTATTCGGAGTTGGTTTAAGACCCCGAGTAATTGGTTCCGACCAAGGGCCTACCACTTTTGGGGTGTGGTACAAAATTAATGAACCAAACGTGGCATACTTTTGTTAGCCTGCTCCACTATTCGAGGTTAGAGTACGCCTGTGACGTAGGCTAAACTTTTGATAGTGTTTGCGTTACTGTGTAGCTTGCAAGTGATGAAGAGAGTGTCCATTCGCTGAACATTGACGACCATGATCACCATCACACTGGTAAGTTTTGTCAGAGGGTATTGCTTACAGACAAAAACCAGATAGAAACATACAGATACAAGTTTGTTATCTTCAGTGGTTATTGTTATTGACTGAAAGGAAGAAACTTGTTAGCAACGCTCTGCTTACTTGGCCATTTCTCATAGGAGATAAGAAGACTGACCAACCGGGCAAAGACTATCCGCAACAATATTCTACCACTCCAAAGAAGATAGAGAGACCGAAGTCACTAACCCTCCATACCCTGTCAGTGGATCCGCCAGTGATTCGAGAAAGCCCCGAGTTCGCTGCAGACAAGGTCTTTACAGATCACGACAAAGCTGTAACGAGCGCAAACAAAGACAAGCTTCCCAGTCCTACGCGTTCACCTAAAGCGCGCGAATCTTCCAAAGACCTGGACACTGATCCCGAGGTAAAATTTAAATACAGTGCAGTCCTGATTTCTCAAAAGTTCGACTTATTCGAAAAAAAATGGCTCCCTTTCCAGTCAGATAGTAATTTCACTACCAGTTTTCCAAACCTAATGATAATTTAAACCAAATCTCTTCTCCTGAGGTGCCCCGAAAAATCGGAATTCCAGTGAAATGCTCGTGTTTGTTTTACTTGTGGTCTCTCGGTTAAGTGGTCAAAATAAATGTACTCGACGAATACATGCCTTGAGTAGGAATGCTAGCGATATACAAAACACTCCTCATTTGATAACCCTGATGGACACAAATTTTTGGCGTCAAACTAAAAAAAAGTATTAATGAGGGAGCTCTGCAAACACCTTTTCATGGAAGCGGGTGAAAAGGGTACCCACCAGGTGCTTATGTCAAGCGACTCGCGATTCCTCTAGATTTAGGGTAAATGTACTCTAGCTAATTCGTTCGTGGTGGTCTCATGCCGTTATACGAATTCTTAGAGAAAGACGTCCGAGAGAGATGTCGTCTTTTATTTGGCAACGTTACCCTGTTCGTCTCCTGGAACTTTCTAACCCCATGTACATGTCAAAGCTAGGACCAAGACTTTAGACGAGTCAGGTGTTGAAACCTTTATTTTTCTTTCCAACGCTATCTCCTAGGTCCCTAAAAAACCAAAGCTGAAGAAGTCGTCCAGCATCAGTTCACCAATCAGAGACAAGAAGAGCTTGGATCACTCGGCCCATTCCTCTTTCTCATCTCCCCGTCAAGGAAAAAGTACGATGGCTGTGAAAAGTAAAGAAGCCGAAGACAGACATGGTTACATGGGTTTCCTTGGAGATCCAAAGAAGAGCTCCTCATCACCAGAGCTTTCTTCGCCGCCAGCTGTTCATAAAGGTATCTTCTTATCACGAGTACTGTACTTCGTCCTTCTGCTAAAGTTGCTGTGTATCTTAGTATATTCTTGTATATCCCTTTCTTATAATAAATTTCACTGTAAATTTCTTCCCCGATTCCCTAGTGCCACTTGTTAAAAGCGAAGGTGCCAAGCGGAAGATGTCTCGCTCAAGAATTGTTCCCCTAACGGGGGGTCCTCAGTTCATAAATAAGGGATCCAAGTCAGCCCCAGTAGCGAGCGACCCTACAGATTCGGGACCTAAAGAGCCCCCCATTCTGGTGACTCCGTCAGAATCATTCAGGTATCCCCTGGACCCGTGCTTCGTGTTCCTACAGCTGTATCATGCATCATTCCTGGGAGCCGCACACGAAAAACCACAGCCGGTACCTGAAGGCGAGGTAGAGTAATAGCGCTATGGTCTACGGAGTAGCATAGATCAACTTGACCTCTGTAAAGAAGACATGATTTCAATGTACTGGTATTTTTTGTTGTTGCTGCTGTTACGGTTAAGAATTTGACTCTGATATTAAATTAGTGGTGTCTGTTGCCACTGGGTGTACTTTGTCTGGTGCTGGCTGGCCGTGCTGGCTATTTGCGGAGGTTCCAATTTAATTTTCTCTCGAAAGCGATATAACGATGTGTCAGCTGGTTCAACATGATTGTTTTTCGTCACATAGATAAGATACTACTATTAAGATTTTCTTACAAATACGATATGCATTGTTAAACCCCTGCATTTCGCTACTTTCGGTGGAAGACATAGTTCTCATTGTCTGAATCCTCTGGTTTGATATTGTGGTATTGTGGGCGTTGGGAGAGGGGATCATTTTGCATGACGCCCCAGAGCGAAAGAAGATTCGACCTTAATAGGCCCAGCTATTTCATTTTCGATCGAACTAGTGCTACATTTATCTATTTATTCCAAACGATTATTCCGTTATCTGTTGGACAGGTCATTGAGCGAGCCATCAAGTGCCTTGACCGTATCCCTCCCTATGATACACACAAGATTGGTGTTATTTATGTTGGGCCTGGGCAACATGACAACGAGGCTGCAATCTTGAGAAATGTTTACGGGTCAACCCGTTACATGTCATTTCTTGCGGGACTCGGCACTCTCGTTCGGCTTCGGGACTGCCCGCCAGCGGAGATTTACACTGGTGGGCTGGATAGAAATGGCGAGGACGGTGAATTTGCCTACAGCTGGCAGGATGATATTTGTCAAGGTAACGGCCCTTCCTAAAGAAAAGTTATTGACTAACACACTGAAATAAGAAGTGATCTGTGAAATTTCTGCAGTCTTCCTTTCGCATTTTACCAGCAGTCACTGTGTATAACATAATAAATAAACAAAGTAGTAGCAACGTGGTAGCTACAGTCGAAGCTCTCGTAAGCGACCACCTCGAAAATTCGAAAAAGTGTTCGTATCTAGAGCTGGTCGCTTACGAGAATCAGCTCTCGTAAAAAACCGCATGGTAAAACAATAGAAGGTGGTCGCTTCAGAAATCCATTAATAATTAGTAAAGAAAAAACAAAAGAAATTAATGTTAAATGAGTGTCTTAATATCTGACTTAGACACAACGGCTAAACTTTACGTCCAATTTTTTAGACCATTAGCGCATTGTACAGTTTCATTTAAGTGTTGATTTATATAAAAAAGACTCGGAGTGGTCGCTTACGAGAGCTTTTCATTACAAAGTTTAAGTCACAGTTCAAACGGGGTTTCACGAAGGTGCTTACGAGAGTGGTCGCGAGGAGAGCTTCGACTGTATTAATTTGTTTGGTTCTCGCAGGGATTAAATCCAGGCAGTCAAAAGTAAGAAAAATCTTGAACATCAATCCTACAACACCAACTGGTGTACCAAGGATTTCATGTATTTCTTGTAAAGTAGAATTTAGCACAAAAACCACTGTTTAACTTACGGTTGGGGAAAGGGGGGTGGTTAATTAATCTACAGCCAACAAAAAGAAGGGGGAAATGGTGCAAAGAATAAGGAAATGACTACTATTCCACCTGCTTCTTTGATTTCAGATCCACTCCCTCGAGGAAAAAGTCAATCGGTTTTTGTATTTTGTATTTTTTGTTTTTTAGTTATCTTCCATGTTGCCACATTGATGCCGACCCGTGAATCCGACTCAGGCTGTAACTCGAAGAAGATGCACATTGGTAACGACTTTGTAACCATCGTCTACAATGACTCCCAGCAGACGGTAAAATTTGGCACAATCAAGGTAACATACCTTCAAGAAAAACTGCTTGACAGGGTTTTCGTCGTTTTTGTTGAGATCGGGGTCCCTCTCCTCGGTATTTCTGTCTGAGAAACCACCTTTGGTTTGTTCCTCTTTCGTGCTTTGGTGCGTTGGCTTGAGCAGCTTCCTTTTATATTGCTTCTTGTTTGGGTTTGTCTTATCTCTTGATATTGTGCTGTTTTCAGTATCTAACAGTTCTACAATTATAACTTTCATTTTATAAAGGCACACTTGTTAGTACCATCCTGGGCTGTGCAATAAACAGGTCACAGATGGTTGTTTCTCAGTGGCTATAATTCAGAGTCGAACTTTTCTCTGAGGAATTAAATTTTGAGGTCAACTTTTAATCGATAAAAGGGATTAAAAGGACATAGCTTGCCCAATATTGGAATCCTCTTGGTTGTTTTTTCCTTTTTGCTACTTAACAGGAGCACGATGCACGAAAAGAGGAGAAAACAATTTGCATTGGCATTTTGGTTTAATGTAAGCTTTTGAATCGTTTTATTTTAGTTTTCATTTTTTTTTCTCTCATTTCTCTTTGCCAGGGTCAGTTCAATTTTGCTGAAGTGTTGATTAAACCGCTTGATAATGCATCTAACATGGTGTCCCTGCGGTTCAAAGATGAGCTAAAGGATCTGCTGACTGACACAGGGCCCCGAGTCATCTCTGATGACAACCTTCCTCGCTTGGTACGGCAGTTGGTCGTGCACATTAACGTAAGTCAATGTCATGCACTGTTAAGTGTTCAGATTTTTTTCCCGAAAAAAAATCAAATAAAATCTTTGATGACTTAGTAAAACTCAAATTTAGCGACGAAATACATTATGAGATTTACATCTAGGCCAATCGTTTACAGTTTGTCGGATGTGTTAACACCCAGGCTCAAGTACAGATTGAGACAACCTTTTGCAATTCGTAAATTCCTTAACAATAATTTGTACTGGTATCGAGAAATTCATACATAACTTGTTATCAGTGTAAATGAAACAAATTGGTCGTTGTCTACTAGATATTTTGCAGGATATTACACTGCCTTATAGACCAAATTTGGTCATAGTTTTTGTTTCCTGTCGTCTTTCGTAGTCCTGCTACCATTGCGTTCGACGTTAGGAGAACGCAACCCCTAATCTGTTTGCGTATTTCGTCGTTCTTCTGCCTTTCCAGCGGCATCTTGAATTACTTCACGTGCAGACCATGGTAACGTGGTAGGCCACGACGCATGTATAATCGAACCGGTGTGGGCGAGAAATTAAAAGAGAATTCTCGACTGTTATTGTTGGCAATTTTCAACTTGACCCGGCTTTGCAAACAATCCATTGTATTCATTGTGCAGCTTGTTTTATGATGTTGGCTTGACATACTTTGCGTTATCGGTGTAATTTATACAACTTTGCATTTCATCTTTCTGGAGCATTTCCGTGCACACCTCTACGCACTTTATAATCTACGATTAATACTAGTTTTATATCTTAATCTTGACGTTTTCTTTCATTTCCTTACAGATGGCATCTGTTATTCACCAAAGTCAAAAGCGGCCAACAGACGCTTACGGATGTAATTGGCTAGAGAGATTACGTCAGATTAAACGAGTGCGCTCAAAGGCGACGGCAGAGAATTTTTCAGTTCCCAGCAGCCCCATGGGTAAGGCCTCACCCTCACCTGGGCTGCGCCCTTCGTCTTCACTGGTCACAGGTCTCACAGATTTCACAGAGTACATTATGAGATAACGTCGAATCGTCTCCGAATTACGCAAGGCAAAATATTCCAAAATAGGTCCTTTATTGCATGAGATAATTTTAATGAGCCTTTTAATGGGCTATGCCACAGCAGTGAAGCGATTATTTTCCCGTAAAATTCTTAAATTGAAAAGAAAATTTTGCTTGTGAAAGCCAAGAAAAATAATCTTAACATCATCTTAATCAAGACACACCTGTTTTGCAATTCCTTTCTCTTTACACGCTGTACCAATTTGCAAGGGTGATATATCATGTATGTAAAAAGGTGCGTTGGAGATATATGCAAAATAAGTTTTTCTGGATTAAGATGATGTAAATGACAATGAAATTCAAGTAATTCAAGAGTTGTTATTTTATAGATTAATAAAAAGTTATTACTCAGAATATTTATTATCAAAACATAGTTACTATAACTATTAAAGTAACTATCAAACCTGGTATATTGATGATTGATTTCCATTCTGCATGTTGTCATTGTTTTGTTGTTTATGATGTTGTTCGTGTTGTTTTTTTTAATATGTTTTCAACTGAACCAGATATAGTCGTGGGACGACCAGCAAACCAGTAAAGCTTAAACGTTTTAGGGCTGACTTCTAGTTCGCTATTTACTACAAATACAAACAAGCTGGTTGTAGAACGAACTCGAAATGTTTCAATTACGTATTAACTTTCCTGGCGACAATTTGTTAAGTTTACTGGTGTTTTGGTTTGTTGGGTTTGTTTCTTTGTTTATGTTTTTCACGTGCATGTGATGTAGGAAGTAGTTAAGGTAACTGCATCCATAATTTGGTGATCGAAGCATTTCTAGGTGAAACTGTCAACTGAAAGCAAGCTGATGCCCTCTTTTCGCCACTCAATTACAAAAGAAGAAAGAAGAATGGCCACATACTCATATCTAGACTCACACTTCTTGAAAATTTTATAATTAATTTATTCCTTTTTAACCCCCCCAAAAAAACAACGGAAACGTTTTAAGGACCTACGGTCAATTATTTGTAAAAGAAAATAACTAATAAAGAACTCAAGGTATTCGTTCTAGGAAAAGGGGTAGTAACTGGAATTACCTAGGGTTGTAGTCATCGAATCAACCGTACCCCCACCCTTTGGATCACACTTTCTGCTCTCCCGAATTCCTATCTTCTTAAAAAGGCTTAAAAATTAAAATTAGCGACTGCATGAAGAACATTCCCGAAAAAGACGCTTGCATGGCAAAACACTTAAAAATACGTGAAAAGTACAGTAGGTTCCCTATTCTTGACCTAAAAACCTTCTAACGGGCTCCACTTCTCTCGCTTAGAGAGGCGCCTGGTACCTGATGTAATCAGTAATGTCCGGGCTTATTCAACAGTCACTTGACAAATTCCTTGTTTTCTTCTTCATGAATCGTTACAGATAAATTATTGTTCCGCTAAAAGAAAAATGCACTAAGAACAAGTAAATGCCATCTAAATTAAGTTTACAAGAATACTCTTTTCGTAATCGTTACTGCAAGTCGTTTTTACTAAGCAAAATAGTTACGAGCAACCAGTAAGCTATATTACAAACACATCACGCGCCTTTGAAACTAAGCCTGGCTTGGACCTGAGACTTGCGGCGTCGCTGACCCTGCGACTGGATCGGTACAATGATATCCTAAGTTCTAAAGATATTTGACCTAGGGTATGTACACACTACACCATGTAGCTTGTGCGCCGGCTCGAAAACCATATCGCATAGGGCTTCTGTTCACACTTAAGAACGGTTGTGGCGGTGCTATTTCTGTAACGGAGCGAAGCTGCGCCGCGCTGATCTCTAAACCGGAGAGTCACATATCGGATAGGTGTTCATAGTTTACCGGATAGCTATCCGTAATAGTATGAAGATAGCCTTAATAGAAGTTATCATGTATTTAAATTTGATGTGGCGTCACAGATGGACTTAACTGAAATCCTCTTGGACTTTCTTGTTTTAGTGTGCAATTCTTTCCTCCGAAGCTTATGATAGAATAGAACAGCCTTAGAACTGACACAGATATTACGTAAGCTCCCTTACGATTTACTTCTAACTAAAGACTATGACTCAGTTCGATTTCACTATGTCCAGGGCCATGACTCGTCCACAAGGCAGTGATTATTTTCATAGTGTTCTATCAACTTGCTCCACATTTCGTCCATCCCAAGAAGATTTTTGTTTCCTAAGGGAGAAAATACGTTTGTTCAGAACAAGAATATTAAACTGGTTGAACACCCATCTAGAAGCTTCTAGACAAGCCAACAATAAAACAATGAGACCACTCGGACACTAAGGGCCTGTTTACATGGAGTGGGGGACCCCGGTCTAGTGAGGTTGGTTTCTTTTGTTTTCACGCTCTGGAGGACACAAAACAAAAGAAACCTACCCCACTAGACCGGGGTCCCCCACTCCATGTAAACAGGGTCTAAATCTCCCGAATCAGTAACTGCAGTTTGATGAAAATCACGCCCTTTGGCTAATCCCTCATCACTTTTGTACGTTATATTAATTGGTGCGCTTTGTGTTAAAAACAAAACAAAAACAATCAGTGGCGCAAAATGGCTGTTTGAGTTTTTTTGTCAAATGAGAATACTGCCAATTAATATGGTTGCTTGGCAAAAAAAAAGCAACAACGCGGTTTTTCTCACCGATAATACAAAGCCCTCTACGTGCTCGTGTGAGTCCCACGTTCATTTGATGTTCGTCTCTTAAGAATCCCAAGTGTTCACCGAGCCAGCTGAGGGAGGGCTCTGGGTCGATTTCTTCTTTCTTTAGGGAGCGAACCAAAGACATGATGACGTAATCCCATTCACTTCCTGAAATTTAATTACGAAATTAACTCATGTTTTAGGAAAACCACTCAATATGTTTTTTTATTACTCATACACTTGCCAATATTTTGAACTGATAAGTCAATGATAATTTAAGTTGGATAACTCTCTTCGATCGCAATTATGCCAGACATGTAAATGATATTTAGCTTTCAGAGCGTTTGAGGTAAAGAGGGTTATACGATCATCTGTTAAAGGATCGTAGGTATAGAAACAAGGCAAATGGAATTCCGCGCTATTTATCAATCTTTCTGGTCGATGTCGTACCTTGACTTTTCGTGATAGTTGTGACGTGGATGCCGTCGTACGCCCCTCTTAATAACTCGCTGATTTTACTTCGCTGCTCTCTGTAAGGCGACAATATGACCACATCTGACTTGGGCACTGATTCACGATTGACAAGGTATTTTGCAACTTGCACCTAGACGAGAAACAAGCAGACAAACTGGGCTGAACATTCCTTTTGCCGTTGTGAAATCAGTCCCTTCGGGTGTGGAATAAAGAAGCCATATAACATGAATGTATTTAATCTTTTTTAAAACTACCTCTCGTTAGCTTTAGCTGCTTTTTGTATTATATATGTTAAATGTTGTCTTCGAAGCTGTCGTCAGTTAACGTCATTTGGGGCTCACATCACACACAATAATAAGCTAGAAACGGTGCTCCGATTTGCGGGTACTATAAGCCAGACTGATTCTAAAAATTGGTAGGGTTTAAAGAATTTACTAAGGCTCAAGCAAGTTTGTTCACCTCAGGAGTACAGCCCGTGCTTCAGTTCAGCCTTCAAGGCTAAAAGGGCTTCACTATTGGTGGGCCTGCAGGCTTCTTTTAATTTTACCTTTATGTAAAGAAAAACTGTACCTACACTAGAACTGATAAGAGGTGTATCTGAGCAGAGTAGTATAGTAAGGCCCGAATTTACCCTTTTTTTGAGGGGGGCAGGAGTTTCATTAAGAAGGACAGGAATATATTGAAGCCGATGATGTCATTGCCTTTTACCTTCTGTTTGATAATGAATGAAGCAGGAAATTGAATCTGCATAATTACAAGCTAAACGTCCACTATCTAAGCTCTCGATGAGGAAGTCGAACTAGGCAAAACGCTTACCGCTTACCTTATGCACATTCTTAACACTTTGAGTCTCATCTAGCCCAGAGGCAGCCGCAATCGAAAATTCCAATAATGGTTCTCTTCGACTATCATAATTTTAATAAGGTCTCCACTTCCCCTTTTACACGACGGCTAACTCGTTATGCGCAGGAAGAGAGGCGCAGTGCAAAACCACCGAATCACGTTAACGAGATTCCTGCCCAAAAGGGTAGAGTTAAATGGTCTATGCAGGGAAAATTTGGATCTTTTACTTTCAAAAATGCTGCATAAAGTTTCAGATCTCCTCAGTGCCTCTCTAAGGAGAACTCGTCAATGTAGAACTGTCTCAGACCTTTGAGTTTAAAATAACTGACATGAATTTTCCAGGTTTGTCCCCCTTGATACGAACTTAGACAAGCGTTGAACTCTATCGCGCGCGTGAGCGCGTAAAGATTCCGTACTTACCACCTTCCTAACTTCTTTCATGTTCCTCTTGGATTCCTGATTACTTTCTGATGTGGTTATCACAGAAGACTGCTCCTGACCTTCCACATGACAGAAGACAATGGGAAGATCTCTTCTCCGACGAACCTGAGCAGGCCAAAAGGATACTGGGCTAGGAGGACGCGAGTTGACTACTTCAGCAGTCTGGAGTTTATCATCATAGAATTCCTTTGAAGGGAATTCGCATATTCCTTTGTGCTAATCCGAGAGAATAGTAATAGATTAGTGTTTTTTAGGGTGATTTATATAAAGAAGTAGGTTTCTTTAAATATTGATGTCACTTCAAATATCAATTACTTACGGAGGTATACAAGGTACAATCAAATGAGACATGAATTGTAGTGAAAAAAAAAAGAACAAGGTATTAAATTATCATGTAAAGCTACATTTCCCTCACAAATCGCGCAGAAGCTGTTCAATACCCTTAAAAATGTTCTTCACGTAAACTTTGATTGCTGCCTGAGGTCAACCCTTTGGTTCCTCATGAAAACACCAGAAAAAAGTCCTATGGTTTCCTCATAGAAGTTTCAGGTTTTGAGTCGATATAAGATTTAAAAATCTTATCATGGGTACTCGACTCAACTTACCATTCTGTACTGCAGCTGCAGCATCCTAGCTCGTTTGGAGTGTCTCTCAAACATGGAAACACTCAAACCAAGCGCCTTGGCCACTTGATCCTGAATGACAGGCTGCAGCTGTTTGTGATCACCAATCAGAACAACTTGTCTCGCTCCTGAGCTCGTGATCGGCACGAGTGATTCAGGCTCTAAGCACATGCCGCATTCATCCACGATACACTGCNAACAACTTGTCTCGCTCCTGAGCTCGTGATCGGCACGAGTGATTCAGGCTCTAAGCACATGCCGCATTCATCCACGATACACTGCTGGATATTGTCACAGGAGTTGGCTATCCTGGGACTACCAGCAGTTGCGCATGTGCACAAGATTATCTGGACACCAGATTCCTCCAGCGCCCACCGTTCTGCATGTCCGATAAGCTATAAGGGAAAAAAGGAAATGTGCAATGTAACTTGTAGATCTTGCTTTTAGACTTGACTCTTTCTCTCTTTCCCTTAAAGTCCATAGCGTTGTTAGTAATGCAGAAAATGCTAAAATACTTTAACTAGAAAATGTCATATTCTTAATGCAATGAAGACTCATTTAACGTACTTTGCAATACTTATCAACATCTTCTTCACTGATAGGTTCGCCCCTTGCTTTATCCTCAGCAAAACCTTCTTCAAGTTTCCGCAGCTCCTCTGCATATGGGAAAACGCCACTTCGAATCAAGTGATGAAGAGAAACGGACCTTATCTTTTCGCTGGACATTTTAAGTTCATCCTCACTTCTTGTGATTCTGGCTGGTTTCAGTTTGTTAGGAATTGGGAATTCCTTCTGCTCAATTTGATCACTGTAAACTCTCAGGATTTTCAAACTAGGAATTTTCATAAGATACTCTGAAAGAAAGAAAACACGTTTTATTAAATGTTTTCGATGAATTTATGCTCACTACGTCCTACGTAAAAGAATAAGAACAAGAAAGGAAAGCAGTACTGATTAATTCAACTCAAGTAAGTCTCCGTTATTCTCCAAATGAAAGCTTTTTATCAGAGCTTCTACACAAGGCGTATTTCTAGTGCAAATCATTCATAAAACTGACCGGTAACGACGTCCACGGCCTTGTTAGATGGTCCACAGTAAATAAGTTGGGGTGGTGCTTTGTACGCTGTTTCGCCCTCTTTCTTTCTTTTGCCTTTTTCCAAAACCTTGTAAGTCAACCTTTGGTTTCGTTGAGCGAACCAGTAAGCAATGTGTACACCCGTCACAGTTTTTCCAGTCCCTGAGTGAGATAACGGAAACAACAAGGGCCAAACTTTCATAAGTAACAAAAATGCGTACCACCTTCGTCTTATCGGCAGCGTTATCACTTAGGTCTGGTCGTTACAAACCTAGTGAAAGTTTTGTTGAAATTACCTACCAGGTGGTCCCTGAATCAAACTAAACGGATTGGAGAGTGCTTCCTTCACTGCAGCCTCTTGGTAGTCATTCAATCGTTTGAATTCATGCTGCTCCAAGGACAAGTCGGGAGGAAGGGATCCAAATATTTCTATTAAAAATTATTTGGAAAGACATTAATCCTGCGGTAGCTGTCGAGCAGGGAAGAAAACTTTTTTCTTTCGTATGTGCGAAAGCATGTGTGAGGGTTATCAATACAATACAATAATCTTTATTAAACGTGGCCCAGGTTATTAGCTAATTAACTATTTTACAGACATGCCACGAAGAGTGAGGTCATATGATGTATCACAATCTTTGAGGGCAGATAAGATAAACAGGTTGTTTTGCATTGGCGATGATTCTCTAAGGGATACAGAAATACACTTATGAAAAGTGAGTCGACTTTTCACGTTCTTTTTTCCAACATTCCATGCTGAAATAGATGGCATTAACCAGGTCTCCAGCTTCAGAATCTTTTTCAATTGTGATGGTTTTTCATATTTTGTAACCATGCCAAAACAACGGAGTTAATAAGTGATTCAGAGTCAAGACGTTTTATTACGCTGGGCAAACCAGTTTTTACGTAGATATGTTAACTAAACCTTAGCTGTTTTGGTTGTCGGAGAGAACGACCCAGAAGGTGCAATTTCAATTTCCAATGAAGATCGTTTGGCCGAGATATCTAAAGAAAAAGAATTTGAGCGAGGTGTGGCTTCTTGCATTAAGGCGCAAACACTCAATACAAAACCGGTCCGGGAGTGATTTCAGGATTATTTTGGTGAAAGAAAGTAAATAGCACACCGAGAAATAACAGCAAAAACGCTTGCGGCAATTTTGAATTTTCCCTTTTGGGCAAGCAAGTTTGAAAAAAAAATGCATAACTGCTATGCACCGTCTAATGACGATACCAAGTTCAGTTAACGACGATTTTTCACAAACCCTTTTTTATAAAGAACGTTGATTCTTGTTAATTAATTTGCATACCTCTCTTCGGTTCTTCTCCTTTGCAAATGGCATGAACAAGTTCTGACGAGTGTCGCAGATTGACGCATAGTGCTGCATACATTCGTCTGCAAGGAGGTTAACTATTAGTAGAGTAACAGCATGATTTGTAGTGATACTAGTTATGAATACCACAAGTTATATTGCAAAATTGTTACAAGTAATTTCAATAGCTTTTATTTAATGAAGCTGTTGACGCTTATGCCACACAAATGTGTCTTGGGTCGTTTATTCACAGCAAGATAATATCGACGGCAGTTTCGCACTTCTTCGGGTGTTCGTTACAGAGACATATTTAAAAAAAACAGTTTAACAAAACACATCTCTCCACTTGTAGCAAACATCTTTATTCTTAGTTTTACTATCTTTAAGTATCTTGGCGAGTTTTCGGGGTTTTTTCTTCGTAAGTGACGAATTCAACTCTGTTTTCGTCGCAGTTGTCGTCTGCGCTGAAGGAGAAATCGTTAATGTATATGAAGTGGCGTTCCTGACAGCTCCTCAAATCTAGGTGCAGGGTTAGCAAGAACCACACCATGTATCAGTATCAGTTACTATGGAGAATGGCTTCCAAGCAATCCTTTAGACCATAACAACTCTTCTCTTCGACAGGTGAATGCCTTTAAAGTGTTAGACCTTTTACAGAAAGCTTTTTGAGAAAGAAGCCTTGCTTTTATTTCAATGAATTTTCTGCAGTTCGAAAATTGAGAATAAGGCGGCATCCTTTTCTTTTAGGTATCAGTCCAATGAGGCCAGCATAACTCTCAAATGTTCGAGCTCGTACACTGTACCTTCCGTTACGGATTTCAGCGACGAACTTTTAGGACGTTTCTTCCAGCTGTTTCGTTTCATAAGCAAGTAAATGTGTTGGGAAATTTTAAGCCAGGTCGATGCACTTTCTTAGAGTTTTGATTTTCTAAAGTTTCTTTGAGTTCTTCACCCTCTTCAACTCGAAAATCTGGAAATCATCCGCCATTGCTTCTTTAACTGTAATATTTTAAAGAGTGTTTTCACTGTCGCGCAATAAAAAATAACTTTGAAACCGTTGAACGAAAGAAGCCAAGGAAATGAAATGTTACCAAAGACTCATAAATATACAATGTACATGTCCAAGTCTCAGGTCTGTGCGGGTGGTGTGCCAACATGGGACATTAATACGGCGGCCGGAAATCAACAAAGATACCAGGCTTTCACTTTTGCGATAAAAAATGCTTTCTTTTTACTTGTAAGCTAATGGACATGCGTATGAACACATTTTGTACCGCTTAAAATGAATAAAGTGCTGAAAATGATAAAGAGAGCGAGAACCTCTTCCGAGGCTACCACCGTGTTTTCACGCGCTGTGAAAATTTGGAAATTCAAAACGCTTTTAATTATTTTCAAAACAAAAGACGCTACGGGGCTGGAAATTTCTACAAACATGTATTTTTCGGTCACCTTCAACCTGGTGTACATAAGAATTCAGAGGGCCGCTCTATTTTGAATTTAGAATTTGATGACGTCATGGTGAAAACACTATATTTTGCAGAAATAACAGTGCTCTAAGCCAATCAAATTGCAGAAATAAGGAAGGAATACAAAAATAAGAATACCACAATGTTACTTCCAAGGTCATCATCATTGACAATAACTCGTTTTGTTTAACTAATACCGTAATAGCCTAAATTTCATCCGATTACTTCGAGTCGTTATTACTCCCTCAGTAACGTCTGAATAGACCGGCCGTTAATGCCGTCCAGTGACGTCACTACTCCTTGACCTTTGCTTTTAATTCATGAAAAAAGTAACACACGATTTTCAAGTGGCAAACGGAGAAATATCGTTTGGAAATGTCTGCATGATACAAAACTGCTTTATTTTTTTCGATCGTAATTCATGTTCAACGTTCAAACTATCAACTGCATGCAGTACAACTCTGAACTGGTTGTACTAAATTCTATAATCAAACTCGGTCGCAATCACGCAATGAAATAAACACACACACGGAGCACTTAGTTCAAAAACACAATGATTTGCTCTAATTGAAAAGAAACTATTTGGTCCTTACCGAAGAAAAAAAAAACAAGGAGACAACGAAAGAATATCTAAGACAATCATTACACTTGACGGTTAAAATAGCAAGAATAATAGAAGGTCAAATTATAACATTGATCTCAGAAAACTTCGCGTAAACAAAATCACCGGCCGTCGAAACCACAAAGCGGCTCTAAATGGAAAACCCACCGACTCTCCGCAATGATTCTTCATTCGCAATTCAATTTAGCATTTCAGTTTCGAAGACAAGGGCAATTTTGCTGTTTAAGATAAAGATTAAGCTTATCGAAATGTTTGAACTATGCCAGAGAAGCGATCCGCTGAATATCAAGCGACAATCCCGCTAAAATTTTTCATAATTATACTTAATTATTCGAATCTTTAGACAATAAACCAATCAAAATCACTACGCGGTTTTCGGGTAGTGAGTGACGTCACTGGACGGCATTAACGACCGGTCGATTCAGACGTTATTGAGAGGAGAAAACGACTCGAAGCAATCGGATGAACTTCAGGCTAATACCGTAAATGATCAACAATTTTCGAGTGGTTACGTCTAAAACTGTATTTTTAGTTCTGGGTAAAATACATCTTTGTAAGGATAAAACAAATGTCCTACCTTTGTGGAAGTGTTCTGTGAATAAGCTCAAGGGTACATCTGTGACTACCTCCATAAGTTATCTCTGCTGGGATATTAGATGCCGCCTGATGATGTTTCATTGTAACCTCTACCTTCTCCTTTTTGACTTCAATCACCTCGTCTATAATGCAGTGGCTCACCCAGAAGCTACCTTGGTGTGAGTAACTTGAGGAACACGACTTATAGAAAATAAAGGAGTCAGAACTTTATTAAAAGTTAGAACAAACATCTGGATTCAAAATAGCACTGTGATTCTTTTTCAACTAAACATCAAAAGTTAATTTTACAGTTCTTTGGATCTAAATAAGGAAAGCAAACGATAGAGCTGGAATGGATATTACCTGCTGTTGGCCTTGCTTTTCAAAAGAAGAACACTCTTTAGGAGGACAAGGTACCCGAACACACACTTCCAGAGGACCTATTTTAAGGTGAACAGACAAAAACGTCATCTGGTTCCACTCTCATTTCTTGGGTCATTCTGAAAGCAGAAGGAAAAGGGTAAGGTGCGATTCCACGAGTTACTGTTTCGGTAGTAAAAGCTTCACCGCTTCCGTTGCGGCCTCCATCGCAAGGACTGGTTTCCACGCGTTCATGTACTCATCAATAGACTTGTATTGCTCTCTTGACGCCTGATGTCTGGCAGTGTGCACAAATGATTCTCGTGGGTATTTGCGATGTTCGATGCAGATATTTAGATAGGGATTCAAGTTTACCATCTGTATATCTGGTTGAAGTATTCCACGCGTCATGTGTGGGCAGAGTTGCACGGATAAGAAATGATACTTCCTCAGTGCAAGCTTCATCTCGTAAAAATGGAAATATGGTTCGCTCGAAGATGGAGACGTTTTTTCACCGTAATGAGGGTGCTTGTAAGGATCACCTCGGGTGTGTTCAGGCAGTGTATGCTGGGTTCGTTTCATTTCTGTGCTGGAAGGAGACATAATACTTAAACGGGCTTCCATTTGCTTAATTATGCCCGGCAATTTGTCTATATCGTTGGCCCTTACGGTATCCAATACTTGAATCCACATGTCCGAGGGAATCTCCGCTATTTCTTGGACTCCCGTTTGACCTGATAATACAGAGTTGCTTTCTTCTTTTACATTTCGGAGGCCATCTGGTGCTATGTACCTTCTGATTTTCCACGTGAGAACAAGGCATTTTTCTCCATCTGTCCCAAATTCTTCTTCGGTCAGAGCGACGGGGTTCATATCACTGATAAACATTCGTTTTTGCTTACCCGCCAGGTGGTCGTCTTCTGGGTTGCAAATATAGAGACTGATTGACTGCTTTTCGATAGATTCAATAAAAACTCTTGTCACGTGGGACTGTTGTTGCAGCGTAGTTGCCAATCGAATCCTTTTACAATCCTTTCCAAATCTCCTTTGGTTGTCAGTAAGAAACGTGGAGCGTCGACAAACTTTTGTCATGTCATCCTTGGATATGTTATCTTTGTGACAACATGGGGACTCCAAACCAAGTAGGAGGCGATGAACTGCAATATCTATATATCGTCGTATTGGAGACGTGAAATGAGTGTATGATCGAATACCAAGGGAGAAGTGTTGGATATTTGCAGGAGGCTGCTCTACTTCACAGACGTAACGAGACTGGGACTGAATCCGTCGAAACTGGGATTGAGCTGCGGCAATTTGAGGGTGGTTGCGCTCGTGGCAAATCAAGTGTCGCAGGGTTGGTAAATCTTTCAACTCTGCTGCCTGACAGATTCCATCCCAAACCCATCTCTGAATTTTGAACATGGTTTTATCGGAATGCAACAGCGCCAAAGATGATGCTTCATCATTTGTACTGTTTCTGAAAATTCCTGATAATTGAAGTGACAATCTAACGTATCTGCCATGTCTTTCAACCCACTCCGCCAGTCTAAGGTCTTTTGGAGGTAGCTGTACTCTTAAGAGAGCCAATTCAGGGCATTTTCTAGAAAGAAGTTTCGCCACTTCTTCATTAGCAAGAATCATCATTTCTTCAACTAGCTCGTGTGCCTCAAAATATTCTCCACTCTCCTCGTTCTGCCAGTGGTCAAACGATTCGTCTCCCAGTCGATGACGTCTTCTCATTTGAGCTACACCGTTTAATTGCCTAACGCTATCCACTATCTCCTTTGCAACCTGCTTGTAACCAATTTCCCTCTTGTCTATAATCATTTGAGCCTCTGCATAACTTAACTGACAGCATGATCTGACAATGGTGCGTTGTATTTTTGGCTCTTCAGTCACATTTCCGTCTTTGTCCAGCGTGATAAATACTGAAACTGCAAGACGGTCCTTGTCAGGCAGAAGACTGCAGTGACCTTCACTCAGCTCATGGGGTAGCATTGGCAAATTCTTCTGCCCCTCTCCTGGGTAATAGGAGGTGCAACGCAAAAATGCCTCATTATCCAGTGGAGAATCTGGCGTAACAAAGAAACTGACATCTGCAATGTGGATCCCTACTCGGAAGGTGGTTAGAGAAATGCTTTCTATCGTAAGTGCATCATCAAGATCCAGGGATGTGGGAGGATCAATGGTGAAAGCCTTGTCGATCTTAGTCCTTGTGGCGTACTCATTCTCAGGAATCAACCACTGTGGTGGGAATTTCTCTTTGACATATTTCATGGCATCTTCTTTGAATGCTCTTCTTATTCCACGCTCTGCGTATGCAATCTCCAAGCTGCTTTTGAAGTCTTCACCTCGAGGCAGCATCCTTACGATAATTCCTAGAGGATAGCAATATTCCCGTTTCCACTGAAGGTACTTAACAACAAACAAATATTTTCCACTGAGAACTTTCTCTCTTTCTATCATTTTGACTTGGATAGCTCTGTTATTTTGATCCTTTCTGTAGATTGGAATATCTTTGCAGCTTTTGTCTGAAAGGTTGACCAGTTTTGGAGCTGACTTGTTAATTGGCAACATTAAAGCAGGGTTTCGGTAATCAGTAGTGCAGACAAACTGGCGTTCATGTGGGCTGATAATGTGCTCCAATACACCTGTGAAGTTCAATGGTTACTGATTAAAAAATCTATTCACTAAGTAAGATCTTACATTTCAGTTTAAAATAAAGGTCAATGTCAAAATTTTACATCTTTATTAATTACTTGGTACAACATAAGCAGGTGGTAGAAGACGACCTCATGGAAAGTCGCGAGTGCCAAGGGGCCTTTACTCCCCCTTTCCCTTGCAATGGTACGCTGTTCCAATTAGTTGTCTCTAGATGTTCATTGCTTTTCTTTTTGATCACCCTAACGGCAGAAATTTATGACGATACACATCCTTTGGTGTACCCACTGGTTTACACGTATTTGAAGAAAAGTTTGAGGGATACTTAAGTACTTATTAAAATTCTAATATTAAAAACGGTATTACTTTTTCGCTTTAGGCCGCGTTGTGATGGCATAACTACTTCTTAACAAACGTGTATATTGTATGTAGATTGTGGATAGTTGGCACAATAAATTCTTACCTACGACCTTTCCTTGAAACCGGCATTCCCCGCTGTCGGCATTTGAACGAGTCCTCTTCTCAATAAGTTCTAACACAACCTTGTCTCTGTCGAAAGCCTGACGAACTCTTCCCTTTATTTCAATGTCTGGAGTTTCTGTGTCTTCTATCTCAGCATAACCCACCTGGGATTTTTCCGGGTTTAAACGGAGATTACAGACTTTGTACTTGTCCGGTTCATCACTCAGAAGTTGTCTCAGCACAGATGGATCCAGAAATTCCTGTTGTTTCGTAGAGGCGATGATTCGTTGCGCCCTTTCTGAAGGAGAACTGTAAAATCCCAGGTTGGTAAGATGCACTTCAACTCGACCGTTGATAACATGTATTTCTGGAAAAAATTCTTTGAGATCCTCTCTGCCCCCGACTGTGAACCGGTAGCTATTTGCATCTGTTGGAGGACGGATCGCTTTTGATCCAGTTGCTTCTAAGGGAGGAAACTCGGAATCTTGAAACATTGACAGTCGTGCTGCATCTGATTGTAATGTCTCCTCGCATTTCTTCACAAACGCCAAAATTATTTCATCCAAATCTCTGGGCGATACTGTCTCATCGTCAAGGAGATCATCCTGAAAGTCTCCTGGTTCAACAATTCTCTCTTCATCGTCTTTCTCTTCCACCTCATCGACTTTGTTTGTTTGATGGTTGATGTCTTGGCTCGTATTGATGAATTTGCCACTATGACGTTGATCGTTTACATTAAGACTGTCTTCATCCAAATTTGCACCACTTTTGCCAGAAATTTCTTGTCCTTTCTCATTGCCTTCTTTCCCATCATTTTTGTCCTTCTGTGTCTCTTCTGCAATTTCTTTAGTGTCATGGACTTTTTTTGTTTCTCCGACTTCTGTATTAACACTTTTTTCTGGCATTGAAAGAGCTTTTGGAACAAACGGTTCTGCTTTGGGATTAAGCTCGATACCGGCGATCGCAGCATTTATTTCTTTGTCGAGCTCTTCCATTGTGACCCCATAAAGGCCTCCTTTCTCGTTGCATCTCTTGATGTAGTCTCTCCAAATACTACGACACTCTCCAACCGTACAAAGTGAAACGGGATCACCAACGACAGCAACCAAACATCTCGCCCTTGTAACAGCCGTGTTAAGTAGTTTTGGGTCAGACAAAAATTCCCAATATAAAGGTCGATCAGATCCACTGGCGCGTACGTCTTCTTGCTGAGGCTTACAGGTGTGAAATGTACGCACGGTGCTGATAAAAAGTGCACGGAATTCCTCTCCTGAAATGGAATGAAAGCTTACAATATTAGCATGTCCCATCACTCAAATAAACATGCCCATTCGGTCGGTTGCACTTATAGATCACAGTTTTACTTTATACTGAATTGAATCTCACATGGCAAGCTAAACAAAGGTTGCTGTATCCAGTTAAGTATAAGACGAGTTTTAAAATGTCGCCGAGGTTCTTTGACCAATGTAAGTTAGGGAATATGTATTTCTTCATCAGTGATGACAAAGGGCCTTTTAAGGTCACAATCAATGGAATGGCGCATTGCATACAATTAACAGATTACTTTATCATATTATTAGCTGTATTAGTGGTATTTATCCATTTTGCTCCTAGCCCGCATTAGGTTTTTCCTAGCTCTGATTTTCAACAGTAAACATGAAATAACATAAAAGGTCGCTTTCAATGGTAAACGGATCTTTGAAAATTGTTCATTACCCTGGACATTGTGAATTGTATCCACTTTAACGTCTTTCAAGTCTGCTTCCTTCCTCAGGCTGTTACGAATTGTTTGAACCTAAACGTCGAGGATGAATTGATATTATATATTGTAACAATTATGTGTGGTGGGACTCGTTTCTTGTTTGAACGTTCTTCGGTAAATACGTGAACAACTGAGTATACATAACTATGCTTCTTAAGACAATGCCTGAAGGTAGGAGTTATAACCGTACTGTGGTTGAACGGCCAAACCCTACCCAATATTAAAG